TGTATTGAGTTATCTTGTTTTGTGTCAGCTGTAGTTGTGTTGATTATTTCAGAGACACAGCCGGAGAAGGAGCTCTGAGAGCAGCATGGAGGAGAACAAAAAGACCCCTGGAGCTCAGGTCAGTGTGCACTTCATCACAATATATTCTTAACACTGTTATCTCCAAATGAAAGATCACAACCTGTTTAGAAAATACAATATTAATGCACAATATGGTTGGATATAGGTTAGAACATTACTACTTAGTAATGTTCTAACATTTATCACATTACGCAAACACAACTGAACATTCCCCAACATTAGACATATGGCAGATTAAAAAATAATGCACTTTTTTTTTTTTAAAGTGTGCAGATACTAGAATCATCAGTTTAAAGTACAGACCAAGAATATTAGCAAATTCAACAAAAATACAATAAAAGCACATCCACAAACAGAGCAGAGTAGCTTACAATTCTCCAAATAGATTAACCAAATTCAAAATGTCCTCAGTAGTAGTAGTAGTTTAGTCATTTCACTTTAACCTTCCATCACTTCTGCAATGTCCCCACTTTTTATAAATTCCAAAAACAATTCCCAAATGGTGTAAAATTCAGAAGCTTTCTTCCTTAGTATATATGTGAGTTTCTCAAGAGCCAGACTCAAAGTTAAATTGTTTAACCTGTGGCCCAGGGAGGGGCAACCAACATTTTTCCAACACAAAGCAATTGAGCGCCTGGCTTGTAGAAGGCATAGGTTAACCATTTTTCTTTCCCTAACCGATAGTGAACAGTCTTCTGGATAAATACTTAAAATACAAAGTTTAGGGCTTAAAGGGGTTCGCAACGAGGTTATTTGGGGAAATGTATCTTGTCACCGAAGTCCAAAATATTTTAACCTCTACACCAGGGCTATTCAATTGGCGGCCCGCGGGCCAAATCCGGCCCCGGGGTGATATTTACTGGCCCTTTGAGTATAATGTTAAAAAGTCATCAATTATTTTTTTTTGTGTGCCATAGTGCCTTTATTCCAGAGAGGGTGTTACATTGAGAGATAGAGGGGTAAACAATGCCTGAAAACTTCGACGGGCTCGGGTTTCGAACCCACCTACTATACTGTAGTGACAACTCCTGTCATTGATTGCATCTCTGCGTGAATGATTAGATCATTTCACCTAAATGAAATCAAATGAAACATGTAGGCCTACTGAGTTCTGAACTTGCCATTTAGATCTATAAAGGCCTTGGGGCTATGTTGTTTGATTGAATTAAACACAATATATGCACTCCACTATGCTGTTGTAGTATTTACTGTATCTGAAGCTCTTAAATATGATTGCTCATATTTCAAGCCATCTTTTTCCCGGCCCCTTGCTTTGGATCATTTTCATCAACCGGCCCCCATTCCAAACTAATTGAATAGCCCTGCTCTACACAATCCCTCAAGCAATGATACAGGGTACCTTGATGGATCTTGCATTTATAACATAGATCAGGAATGTTAGGGTTAAACTTGTTAAACATCACAAGGGTGATGTAAGTTCTCATTATCCAATTATATTGTATTAATCTAAGACGTGTATTAATAGTTTGTGTTTGTGCCTTTGAACAAATTGTACCCCAATCATCCTCTGAAATATCCTCTGAAATATCCTTTAATACGTCTTTTACTTTCTGAGTTGTCTTTATGGTTTGCAACCATTATGTTATAAAATTGAGTAACCAGCCCTTTGCTGTTACAGTTTTTTATAGACAGTATCTCTACTGTGGACGTAGGAGGTTGTTGCAACAAGTTGTTTAAGTTTGCCAATATAAAACTCCTAACTTGCAGGTACTTGAAAAAGTGTTTCTGTGGCACGACATACTTTGTTTTCAGCTCGTCAAACGACATTAGGTTGCTGTCCTAATATGAATCTAGTAGCCTTACAATACCCTTACTTAATCATGTTTGGAAGCCCATGTCATTTTTACCTTGGCTGAAGAGTTCATTGCCCCAAATAGGTGAGAAACAAGACAACATTGGGGAGTCTCCTATATATGTATGTGCTTCATGCCAGACAAACATTTTATTTTTCACAAAGGGATTCATTGTTTTTTTCCTTAGATTTTTAGAAGGAGCAGAGAATAGAAAGATATCCAGCATCAAACCCTTTGAAGACAACAACTCAACTCGTAACCATGGCAAATCAACTCCTCTTTAAAACCAAAACATTAAATGTTGGTAGTTGTAACCCTCCCCTATCGTAAGGTAAATACAACAGAGAGAGTCTAAGTCTCGGCTTCCTGTTATTCCAAATACATTTAGAAAGTAGCTTTCTTATTTTAGAGAAAATGGAGGAGGAGGTGCTAGTGGGATTGATTGAAAAAGATATAAACATTTTGGCAATATACTCATCTTAATTATATTAATTATTTCCACTAAGGACAGAGGCAATGTTGTCCACCTAGTGGAATCTTCTGACACTTTAGGGGTGACAAGGGTTCTTAATTAGATGCACTGAGAATGTCTATCTTTGGTGTAATTTTAATACCCAGATAAGCAAAACCGTCTATGGCATTTACAAATGGGAAAGATCATTTTGGATTTCTTCCCTCCTGATCATTGAGAAACATAATAGAGGATTTATCTTTGTTCACCTTAAAACCAGAGATTTTACCAAATTGATTGATTACTTTTAAGAGGGATTTTGCAAGACCTGATCAAAACACTATGGCATCATCTGCATACAATGCTATATGATGCTCTAGGTGCCCTGTCTTAATACCATAAATCAAAGGGTGTGATCGTATGGCTATTGCCAACGGCTCCATATAATAGCTATCACAAAAAGTAGAGGCGAAATATGAGAGCCTTGTCTCGTGCCGCGAAAGAGTATAAATGGTTGTGAAATACAATTATTGGTTAATAATAATGCGGACGAATCAAAAAATATAATTTTAATCCATTTAAGAAAGTAGTCATCAAGACCAAAGCGCTTAACCTGTTACGCACCGCCCCCCCCCCCCGGTACTGGGCGGATAAACGCGTCATTTGCAGGAAACAACGTCTAAGGAATCTTAATATTTAATAAACTATGAATGTTTTATATCCATGTAACGGGAAGAAACTCAGCTAACTGATCTTTTTAATTTTTTTTCTCCAAAAAAACCCACAATGCTAACACTCAGCCTCTGAATTAGCCACGAGCGAAAAAATGTAACCTATCTCTGCACCTAAACTCACTCCTAACTCCCTTATTACTTATCCTAGATGCACAGCCAACCCATCGATTAGCATCAGCTGGAGACACAGAATCTGGGGGTGCCCACCTTAACACTCAGTGATAAACATTTGCGACGCTATAAACGAAAGCGTACATCATAACATGTGGAGCTAGGTAGCTAGAAACGCTAACATGGCTTACCTTGGTCAAAACTGGTCTTCAATGGCATTAAAACGATAAAAAAACGATGCTGCAGTTAATCCATAGGTTAATCCAATGTGTCTGTGTCCTCTTTGAAATGATTTCTGATAATCCATAAGCAATAAAACTGCTTTTTCGTTTCCAAATGTCAGAGCTAGAGATAGGTCCACTCTGACGCAAAATTACATGCGCGCAGCCCCCACCTTTTCTCTTCACAACGTGTGTGTGTGGGGGCCTCCCCCTTCGATTCTATTGGCTCTAACGGTCAGAAAGAGGTGTCAACCATCAAAATCGACCAAGGGGGGCCAGAGATATGGAAAAAAAAACATTTTCACCCAAATCACCTCAGAGGTGGGGTGGTTTTGGCTAAACCTCTCTAAAAAGGTCAAATGTCACTTGTTTTGCATCAATCTTGATACAGGGTACTTATTATATGTTGTACTTTGGATTCATATAGCTTTTAGTCTACTAACCCATCATCCAAGGGTAGTTTTCACTATCTGTAAAAAATAATTTTTGGACGGACACTATAATTTACATTTTTTTACTATGTAAAATCTGAATTTACTTTAAAATAAAATCATCTATATCGATTCAGACACTTCTACATCCAACTCACAGGTGTATCATTGCTTTGAGAAAAAAAGATTATTAATGTACCCCTTTTAGAAGTGAAGATATAGTCATTTGTTCTGGGCTTGTCATTTTCGAGCCTGAGGCCTGAAAAACAGGCTCAGGGCTTAACAGGTTAAACAAATAGCTCTACATCCCTGGCCGAAATGTCCCTAAAATGAAGTCCGAGTTCGAAATACATTTCAAATAATGTATGCACTGCCATTTCCCCACATACACATAACAGTCTGCAATGAAACGGTTGTCTCCTGTGCGCTCCACTTCTTACTTGGCGCACCGGGAACTTTCTCGTGCGAACAAGATACTTTCTCTCTCATTTATTCATTTCCCTTTTAGGGGCTTCGTACAATACAATACAATACAATACAATACAAATGCAAATATTTTATCCTTTCGAGTCATCTGTCTCAAGCCTAAGTCAAGTCTGAAGTCATGAATACCAATTCAAAGTCAAGTCGAGTCTTTTATCAATGTTATTCAAGCAAGTCTCAAGTAAAAAAATATGTGACTCGAGTCCCCCACCTCTGTTATATACTGTTAGAATGTTGCTGTAATATAATAAACATAAACAGTTAGTAAAAGTAGTATTTTTTTTTTTAACTGAAAGTTTGTATTAAGTGAGTTTTTATTGTGTTAACTGTATATGTATTTATGTTTTTTAGATTTACTTTCTCTCTTTCTCTGTCCGTCTGTTTTAGAAACCGAAAGGAAGAGAGAGACGTCACAGCTGTCAGCAATGTGATGAATCCTTTACAAAATTTGGAAATTTAAAACGCCACCTGCTTATTCATACTGGAGAAAAACCGTACAGCTGTGAAGAGTGTTGCAAAACGTTCGTGAGATCAGTTTCTCTCATAAACCATCAACGCATTCACACAGGAGAGAAACCCAAAAGAAGAGAGAGACGTCACAGCTGTCAGCAATGTGATGAATCCTTTACAACATCTGGACATTTAAAACGCCACCTGCTTATTCATACGTACAGCTGTGAAGAGTGTGGGCAAACGTTCACGACATCAAGTCTTCTCAAAATCCATCAGCGTGGTCACACTGGAGAAACAACATACAGCTGTGAAGTGTGTGGGCAAACATTCTCAACATTTTATTATCGTAAATCACATCAACGTATTCACACAGGACAGAAACCGCACAGCTGTGAAGAGTGTGGGAAAACGTTCACTCAATTAGGTTCTCTCAAAATACATCAACGTATTCACACAGGAGAGAAACCGTACAGCTGTGAAGTGTGTGGGAAAACATTCACTCAATCAAGTCTTCTCAAAATCCATCAATGTATTCACACTGGTGAAAAACCGTACTGGTGTGAAGAGTGTGGGAAAACATTCACTCAATCAAGTAATCTCCAAATCCATCAACGTATTCACACAGGAGAGAAACCGTACAGCTGTGAAGAGTGTGGGAAAACGTTCAATCAATCAGGTTCTCTCAAAATACATCAACGTATTCACACAGGAGAAAAACCGTACAGCTGTGAAGAGTGTGGGAAAACGTTCACAACATTAGGTGCTCTCAAAACACATCAACGTGTTCACACTGGAGAGATACCAAACAGCTGTGAAGAGTGTGGAAAAACGTTCACTCAATCAGGTGCTCTCAAAACACATCAATGTATTCACACTGGAGCGAAACCGTACAGCTGTGAAGAGTGTGGGCTAACGTTCACAACATTAGGTGCTCTCAAAACACATCAACGTGTTCACACTGGAGAGATACCGTACTGGTGTGAAGAGATGCTGTTTTCTCCCTAAACCAGTGGTTCTCAAACTTTTTCCGTCAGGCGGAGAAAAAAAAAATTCGGGCCCCCCCAACACAAATAGTCACGTAGTGGGCCAAGTTAACATTTATTAAAATACATCAATATTAACGTGAGCATTCCTTTATCACTTTGTTAGAACAGTGATAATAAAACAATTCTCCAGAAGTCTGTGTACTCAAAAAAATAAATACATAATATAATTGTGCAATCCCTTTGCAAGAACAATAAGTTATACTTTGCCACTTTGCAATCTGTGCAAAACAATTTAAAGAAAGAAAATGCTGATATTTGGCAGAAAAGTGTCTTATCACAGCATTAGTGGCTGCAATGAGCCTGTTTTGCACAGCACATTTCTTCAAAACGGGGTTGCAGGCTCAGTGGCGGCGCCAGAGATTTTCTTTTGGGGGTGCTGTGGGGTAGCTTGATGTTTCATACAGGATGCTCAAACATTTAGGGTTTCCCATTAATATACCGGTCGCTACAGAGGAATTGTGTACTGCAACACTCCCCACGCACATACATCCGGAACTGTTAAAATGAAGGCTCAATAATCAACTCACGGCATATAGGTGTAAGCAGGGGTAAAGTGCTATTTTTATAAGTGGGGAGTGGGAGTTAAATATTGAAGTTAAATGCCTCAATCTGGTGCACTTTGAGAGCAAAATGAAGAGATCTATGGATACATCTCTCAACACCCATATGAAACAGAACTGTAAACAGATTTTATTTTTCTTTATGGATATTTTACTAATCACTCCCCTTTTAAACTGTATTCTTGTTTTACTGTCATATAGTATTGCATAACTGTTTTTCATTTATTCTCTTATTTTTGTATACCTATAATGATCATATAAACGTGTGCCTCGAAAATAATTGTTTACATTAATCGTGACCAAACCGTTTGAGACCCACTGAGATAACTAATCTCAGTGAGTAATCTAAACACTGATAGAGTCCTTTACCTCACTGAGCTGAGGTTATCTGAGCCTCTCAGTCTGACAGGTGAGAGTTCTCCCTCCACCTTGTTGTTGAAAAAGCTCCTTATATCCGTTAGCGTAGCTAGCTGGCACCAGATGCTAACAACAACAATCTCCGGTACCGGTGCACACTCTTTCTCTCACGCGCGCACGCACAAAAAATGGCTCGTTCCACACACACACACAGAGCCGAGCTTGAATAAATCACAGAGACCCAGACGTTCTTGTAATGTACTGTAGCATATTATTTTTGAATCAATAATTTTTCAAATTATGAATTTCACACATACAAAAAAGAAATACATACATTTCTTGGGGGTGCTTAGGGGGTGCTATGGCTATCCTAGGGGGACCTGTAGCACCCCCTAGCGCCCCCCTGACGCCGCCTATTGACCTTCCATCCTCAAAATGTACATTACACACCTGTGTCCTACAGCGCCCTCATAGGTTTCCCTATGTTCCCCTGTTTGGTTAATAAAATGTGACTTAAACTTTGATTGGGATGTTTTGATAGTTCCTGTTGAGTTGGCAGTCTGTTCTGGTCTAAAAAAAAGAACCAATGATGAATGTATCTAGAAAATATTGTTAGATGTGCCAAGAGCAAGGACTGTCTTAGGTAAGACAGCTTTTATGTGCGCAGCTCCACTTGCTTGGAACAATCTTCAGCAAGAATTGAAACTGAGCAATCCTCTGCATGTTTTTAAAGCTAGGCTAAATGAGATGCTTGTTGATACTATGGATACTTGTAAATGTCTATAACTATGTAAATGTATCCTGTAAATATAATGTATGATGTCCTTTATTGTTATATGTTTCATGTGGAACCTATATGCTGCAGGTCTCCCTTGAAAAAGAGATCTATGATCTCAATGGGACCAATCTGGTTAAATAAAAGTTTGAAATGAAATGAAATGAAATATTCCTGATGTTTTCAGTTTGATTCTGTTCTCTTTTGTTTAAATTGTCAGAATTTACCAAAAATAAAAAAGGCCTTAGAAACAGACTCACATCCCTACATATATTTTGTGTTTTTCAGCACATTATAAACATGTCATTCCCTTGTTTTAGGGCTGCTGACTGCTGGATGAAATGTATCACTCAAACTTTAATTTTAATGAAAAATATACTTTTTAACTCAGTTTGTTTGACCTGGTTTGTTCCCAGTGAAGGACTCCAGCTCACAATGAGGTAACTGTTAACCTGTTAAGCCCCAAGCCTGTTTTTCAGGTCTCAGGCTCGAAAATGACATTCCCAGAACATATGACTATATCTTCACTTCTAAAAGTGGTAAATTATCTCAATCTCAATCTTTATTTATTTATATAGCACATTTAAAACAACCTTCAGTTGACCAAAGTGCTGTACAGGCAATAACTACAATATTAAATAACACTAATAAAACAATAATTAAAAACATGATAAAAAGCACAATAACTAGAAACATATTAAAAAAAACACATACAAATGTAAAAATGTAATGTTCAACTAGTATTAAAAGCCAGTGCAAAGAGGTGAGTTTTTAGCTGAGATTTAAAAAGTTCAATAGACTCAGCAGTCCGGATATGTGCTGGGAGGCTGTTCCACAGTCTGGGAGCTGCAACACTGAAAGCCCTGTCACCTCGGGTTTTTTTTCCTGCACCGAGGAACCACCAACATATTTTGCTGAGCTGATCGCAGTGCTCTAGCTGGAGCATGGCGGTGCAACAACTCAGACAGGTAATGTGGTGCCAGTCCATGCAATGATTTAAAAACAACAATTAAGTACTTGAACTGGATCCTGTAACTGACAGGAAGCCAATGAAGGTCTGCCAAAACGGGTGTGATGTGGTCATAACGTCTCTTCCCAGTAAGAAGGCGTGCAGCCACATTTTGGACCAGCTGCAGGCGACGGATCAAACACTTATCAACACCAATATACAGGGAGTTACAATAGTCTAAACGAGACGTTATAAATAGGTGGATTAGCTGTTCAAATTCCTTACTAGGAAGATAAGCCTTTACCTTCCCCAGAAGCTGCAGCTGGAAGAAGCTTGTCTTGACAACTGAGCTTATTTGTTTGTCGAATTTAAAACAGTTGTCAAAGATGACTCCAAGATTTCTGACAGAGGGACGGCTGTAGGAGGCTAAGGGGCCGAGTACACTATTAAAGCCATCCAGGAGTTCAGACTGTCCAAATATTATAATCTCTGTCTTGTTTTCGTTGAGAGTCAAGAAGTTGATTTCCATCCATGATTTTATGTCTTTCAGACAGCTAAGCAAGGCAATCCTATATTCCTTATTTGCTTTTATAGGCAGGTATACCTGCAGATCATCTGCAAAGCAATGGTAAGAAATGTTATGCTTTTTAAAAATTGACCCCAGAGGTAGTAAATACAGACTGAACAAAATGGGGCCTAGGATAAAACCTTGAAGGACCCCATATGCTAGTGGGGCTGCAGCTGAAGAATACTGGCCAAGATGCACAGAAAAGGTCCTTTCTGACAGATAGGATTGAAACCATTTGAGGACATTACCTTTAATTCCAACACACAGTTCATGGCGTGATAAAATAATTTGGTGGTCAATGGTGTCAAAAGCAGCAGACAAATCTAAAAGCACAAGCACAGCAGAATTCCCAGAATCAGCAGTTAAAAGAAGATCATTAAAGACTCTTAGGAGAGCAGTTTCTGTGCTGTGGCGTGATTTAAAACCAGACTGAAACTTCTCTGATATGCAGTTTAAAACAAGGTGCAACTGCAGTTGCGCTAACACCACTTTCTCTAGGACTTTAGAGAGGAAGGGCAGCTTAGAAATAGGTCTAAAGTTGGAGAGAACAGAATGATCAAGGTTCTGTTTTTTGATAAGAGGCTGCACTACAGCCTAATCTTTTTTCTCAAAGCAATGATAAACCTGTGAGTTGGATGTAGAAAAGTATGAATCAATATAGATGTTTTTATTTTAAAGTAAATTCAGATTGAACATAGTAAAAAAGATTAAATTATAGTTTCCGTACAAAAAAAAAACATTACTTATAGTGAAAACCACCCTTGAATGATGGGATAGTAGACTAAAAGCTTTTATAACATAAGTACCCTGTATCAAGATTGATGCAAAACAAGTTAAATTTGACCTTTTTAGCGAGGTTTAGAAAAAAAGAACCACCTCTGGGGTCATTTGGGTAAATGTTGGTAGTACAGTGCCATCCCAAAGAAAGATTTGACCTTCTGCTGAGATGGAGTACAGCCGTCACCGTCCATAAGGTCCTCTTTCCTGAAAGAAGATATGACCTCCACCTTCCCCTGATCGACTGAGACACCATCACTGCTCAACACATGGCCAAGAAACCGCACAGACCTGCAAAGGAAGTGGCACTTCTTCTGAGACAGCTTCAGATTGTTAGCTCTGAGACGTGAGAAGACCGTCTCGAGTCGACTCAGGGCTTCCACTTCAGATTTAGCAAAAACCAGCAGGTCGTCCATATAACAGAGGAGGCTGGAGAAGTTCAAGTCACCAAAAACACTCATCATCATCCGCATAAAGGATGCAGGACTGTTGCATAGCCCCTGGGGAAGTCTGTTGTACTCATATAAGCCCAATGGTGTTGTGAAGGCTGTGTACCGTCTGTCAGACTCATGGAGGGGGACATTGTAGAAGCCTGACGTGAGATCCATGGTGCTGAAAAAGGCATTCCCTCCAAGGGCGGCAAGGCAGTCTCCCTGGTGGGGCAATGGGTGGGCGTCTTTGACTGTCTTGGCATTCAGCCAACGAAAGTCAGTGCAGATCCTCAATTCACCTGTCTTCTTCCAGACCAGAACCAGCGGGGAGGCATACTCGCTGACTGACTTGCTGATAATGCCCTTCAACTCCATCTCAGACAAGACTTCTCTCAGTTTGTGGTAGTGTGCTGGAGGGACGCGACAGTAGGGGAGCCGGAAGGGATGATCATCAGTGAGGTGTATGCGATGGACAAACCCTTTTGCTTCCCCGCAGTCTAGCTTGTTCTTGGAAAATACATCCTGGTAAGTGAGAACAAGGTCAGCCAGACGCTGCTTCCATTCGCCCGACACTTCGCAGCCATCAATGTCTATGTCCGTCAAACCACATTCCTTGAGTTGTTGAAGGGGGTTACAGGTGGTTTCTGGGTTGAAGACCGGTTCAGCAGGCTGATCTGCCTGTGACCTGTTCACACCCTGGGAGATGTGGAGGTCCTCTACAGCAGTGGTTCCCAAACCTTTTGTGCCCAAGGCACACCAAAGGACAAGTAAAAATCTCAAGGCACACCTATTGTGCAAAATAGCCCTTATAACACGTGTTATCACTCATATCATGTAAAATATCTGTAAATGTGCATAATTATTTACTAATGCCAAATAAAATGTGACAAAGACAACTATATTACTCATGAAATATTTATTAACGAAATATTTCAGAAATTACATTTGAAACTTTATCAAATTAGGCTTCATCAAAGCAGCAACACACTCATTTAAACCAGACAGGTCACAAAATTAAAAATGAGGCAAAGACTCAGCAGAAATTCAGCACAGAGAACTGTCAATGCAAGGAAGCTGCACTGTCCATGGGCCTGAACTACAAATTATAAATGTAACATTTCAGCAATCAGCATTGAAACATGTGCTATTGTAAATATTTTGCCGACTTACAAATTAGTGAGATACATGTGCCTGTCGGGGCGCGCAGATTTTTGTAATCCTTGGTGGCACTGAGGAGAGGGCCACTCGCAAGTCCTGTTCAACAGAGAGCTGTGACCTCCTGTTGTTCTTCATGTAAACCAGAGTAGAGAACCGAATCTTGTCTGTGGATGATAAAATGTTTTCATTCCTGCCCTGAAGCTTGGCGTTTAACTCGTTTAACTCGTTGAGATGCCCAAATATGTCTGCGAGGTAAGCCAGCCTGGCGCACCACCTCTCATCCGCGAGCTTGTCTGTATGTGGGACAGCGTGTTCACGTGAAAACTCCAAAAGCTCTTCCCGAAGCTCATAAAGACGGGATAGGACTTTCCCCCGTGACAGCCAACGTACCTCTGTGTGGAGGATCAGGCTTTGGTGGTCGGCTCCCATCTCGGCGCACAGCTGGGAGAAGAGGCGAGATTTCAGGGGCCTTGATTTGATGTAATTCACCATCTTCTCCCGTAGTATGGCTTTCCATTTCTTTGCAGAAGAAAAACGTCTCTTTGATAGAGTCAGCATCAACATATCTGACGTTTGCCAGAAGTTGGGCAGCCCCACTTATGTCAGTAGATTCGTCTATTTGTAGGGAAAACCTGCCGCTCGCCTGCAGTGCCATAAGACAGGTAACTTTCATGATACTGTCTGCTGACAGTTTTTTTCCTCTTTTCTTTCGGTGGTGGGTTGTCGGCAGTCTCTGCACTGGTGGTTGGTAGTTTGCTCCGCACAAGAAAGCGCTCCATTTTCCCTCTTGCGTGTTTCTCTGTTTTAATGTTGTCCTTCAGCCTTCGATGTGTCACGGTCTTATAATTCCCACCTGCAACTGCGTTAACAGCGAAATATGGGGTTCTGTGAGGATCTTTTTTTAAATAATTGTTTTTAGGTATAGAGTTTGCCTCTGTATTATGAAATGAGTGCATACAAAGTACTGATATAGTAAATAAAAAAATAATTATTTTTGTGTAGTTGTATATTGCAATAATAATGTATGGTTGTCACAAAATCCCACGGCACACCCGGACTTGCCTCACGGCACACCAGTGTGCCGCGGCACACCGTTTGGGAACCACTGCTCTACAGCAACACAAGGAAAGACGTCAGCCACTTTGGCATTGCGACGTAACGTCACAGGTTTCTTCGTCGAGTTCATGATCTTCATTGGGACCCAGCGATCTCCCCACATTGGTGCTCGCCCAACAATGAGGTTCTTTGGGGCTGAACGGGAGGATGTTGGTTCCACAATGGCAGTGCTCCCTGGTGACACAGGTGCGCTACTGGGTCATTTCCCCCAGACCAAATACTCTTGCTGAGGGGCAAGTGTGACAGCCTGCTGCAGTCTGACAGTACCAATCTTGTTTGGCAACTCAGGACCAGACCAGCGTGTGATGCCACTGAGCATCTGAAGAAACTGTTCACACTCTGGGTCTGAAGTGCTTGAAGATATGAGCTCCCAGTACTTTTCATCAGACTTCATCTTCTGTATCATGGGTCTGATAACGTTGCTCCCAATGATTAACTCGTCCCTCTGGCCAGGAACAAGGAAGGTTGGCACAATGAACTTAGATCCAAAAATCTCAATGTCAAGGTCATAGATACATGTGGGTCGTGTCGTGAGGCCACCACAGCCAACTCGAATCACATTTCCAGGAACAGGCTGAGGATTCAGAATGACGCCAGTGGCCTTAAGCCTGGACTCCGCCTCCTCACTGAGCGTGCATGACATGCTCCCTGAATCAAGCATCCCTCTCAATGTAGACCGGCTACTGATGACCACTGGAGCATAAAACAAGTCGCTAGCCCCCTCCACCTTATGTGATCCCACAAAAATCACTGTCTTGTCGTCAGGAAGACTACTAGAACAGTTTACATTAGCCGCGTTCACAACGGAGTACTTTCTTTTTGCTGATTGGCTGGGCGAATTGCAAACCACGCCCCGTACAACTGTGGAAATGTTGTGTAGAGCCGCCATTGTTTTGCCTCGCTACAACAACCTCAGCGCACCAACGAAGAGTAGTTTGTTTTTTAACGCAGTGAAATAATGACAAACATGAAGAAATCTGAGCGATGGAGTGATGAGGAGGTATCAGCGCTTCTGGACATCTACGCCGAGGACACGACGCAGGGAATGCTGTTGAAGCCAGTACCCAATTCCAAGATCTTCGATCGTTGTTTGAAGTTGTTGCTTGAGATGGAAATCGTGCACAGCGCCTTGGCATGCCGGCTGAAAATCAAGAAACTCCGCCAGGACTACAAGAAAACTAAAGACTGGAACAATAAAAGTGGTAACGACCGGAGGACCACTAAATGGTTTGACCGCTTGGATGCTTTGCTTGGGAGCAGACCATCATTCACGGGTACAGCATCGAGCCTTGATTCGGGCAGTATGGCATCGGAGGCCGCTCCAACGGCGAATTTAGAGGGCGACAACGACGAAGGTAAAAGCAACTACATGCACTGGGGTTTTAATCTGCACAATAATGGTCTCAGATGTACTTTTATTTGCTCAGTAGATCAAGCTAGGCTAAACTAGCTAACACTGGCCCCGAGCTGGCTAATAACATCTAGCTAGCTAGATATTCTCGGCCGCTATTAAAACGTTTTGACTAGTGAATAACTGTGCAGTGTTTCTGTAATTTGCTTCACTAACTCATGGAACTAATCATGTGTTTCAGGCGAGGAAAATCAGCAACACTCGGTATTGGAAACAAGCGAGGTTCTTGGCGTTGGAGATCAGAGCTTGCTCGCTTGCTCGTCCCCCTTACCGGCAACCAAACGCAAAGGTACACACACTGTAACTTTGTCTTGAAAGAACGTTACGCATGGAACAGATGTTCACAATCATGTTTATTTCCTTCTTGGTACAATTATGAAACAGCATGAAAGAGAACATTTCGCGCCTTTTTACTCTCTTACAAACATTGTAAACATCCGGGCTAGAGGTCACATGACTTCCGGTAAGAAATCGCTTCCACTTGGAGCATATATCGCCACCTACTGTTGATTTATTAAATCCTTGTCCTCAGACCAGTGCTTTTGAAGAATTTGAAGATCAGCTTGTTTGCTTCATTTCTTGATTTACTTTCATATATTGACTTGAAATCCATGTCCTTGATGTTGAGTTGTTCCAGTGCAGTTATCAGAATGAGTCTTTGTCTGTTATAATCCAGGCAGCTAAAAAATACATGATGTATGTCTCTGGTTGTTGATCTTGTATCTTGCTTATTTTCCCCTCTTAGGAAAGCGGACACAGGATGCACTTTTCCTCGAGACCGTCCAGGCGTCGGAGGACCAGCGTGCCGTGGCGAATGAGTCGCTGCGCGGAGATCAGATGGTGCAGTTCAGCCAGACCCAGGAAGCGGAGGCCAGAATGATCACCTCGATGGAGCGCCAGTCAGAACTGGCGCTGCAGCAGATGGAGCGCCAGCGGCACCAGGATGAAGTGTTGGCGCTGCGCCAGCAGCTGCGCCAGGAGCGGCAGGATGAGCAACAGGCGGCATTTAACACTGGGTTTCTGGAAGTGCTTTCCCAGCTAGTGAAAGCCAACAGGTCTTCCTCCAAATAGTGGCCCCTTTTAATGTCTGCTGCTGAGCCTATGCCTAGTTTAGGCATAGTTTAGTTAAGTTGAGTTTATTTGGTTTTTGTAAATACTGACACACGACACACAACTTTGCACTAAGGTGTGTATGCTGCTGAGTTTTTATTTTATATTATTACTGTTATCACTTTATTTTATACTGACATGTCCAACTGACACTTTGTCACTTTATTTACATTAAAAAATTGTTCTAATTTCATGTTATGTCATATGCTGCAATAAAGAAAACCAACATGGCGATTAAATCATCTTGCTTATTTCTGACACTTTATCTTTAGTGACCTGTGTAGCATCCTATACATCACATGTAAGTGAGTATTCTGATACCATCATGTTTCATCGGTTATAAACTGGCAAAGCTTTATTTGTCATTTATTTATCATCAATGTTGCAACCTTGTGTAGGAATGGCAGCGGCACATACACAAATATGATAATTTATATCATTTTAAAAGACCTAAACTTTTAATTCCCCCACATTTCACACAACACAACATGGAGTCCACTATGGGCCAAAAATGACATGAAAGTTTCCATTTTTTATGTTTTTATTTCCAAAATGACACCATAAAAAAACTAGGGTTGTGAATGCTAGGTTAGTATCATCATAGGGCAAAATAAAGACTGATGCACCAAATGAAACTAGGGGTAGATGGTGACTTAGTTTGAATACAGTCACGTCACGTTCAAAATGGCCCATGTAAAAAGTGCTCAAAAGCAGCTAGTTTACTATGAATTCAAGTTTACATTAAAAAGCAGAACAATTATCAATACATTTCTGAAGTGATTTACCGATTTCTACATTCCCCTCGTCTCCGTTTTCAAGATTTGTTGACAGCAGTGCCGTATAATAGAAGAGTTACGACATAAAAATGGTTCTATTTCATGTTATGTCTTGAGAGTGCAATAAAGAAAACCGACATGGCGATTAAACAGATCCTTATTTTATATTGTTATTATATAGTACAACTGACACTTTATTTTATATTGACAATGTTTAGTGACATGTACAACTGACACTTTAGTTACTAACATGTATGTTAGTTTTGGCTACTATTACACTATTGTAATGTTGCCTGTCTTGACTGCAAAATGAAAGAGAGAAACAAAAGCACCGTAGAAATGATCAGCTTTATTGTCAATGTTTACATTTATTGTTTAGAATGTACAATTTACACGCTGTTCAGATGCCTCATAAGGGCTGTGCGTGTGTCTTGCCCCCCAGCCTCGGCAATGGCTGGCGCTGGCCCATCAAGCTGGGTCGCCGGTAAGGCAGTCCATTCGTCCCTGTACTCATCATCATTACTTTCACAAAGGTTATGTAACACGCAACATGCTGCCACCTGGATTTTTATCTTGTCCATCTTGCAGTCGTTTCTTTTCATCAAGCACCGCCACCTGCCCTTCAATCTGCCAAAAGCGTTCTCCACCACCACTCGTGCTCGGCTTGTTTTGTGATTGTACACAAGTTGCTCGGGTGTGAGCCTTCCTTGGAAAGGTTTCATCAGCCATCTTTGCAGGGTGTAGGCTGAGTCACCAAGGATATAGTAACCCACATCATGTCCACCAATATTCTTTGTTACATGAGGAAGTAGACCACCCTTATCCGCAAAACTACACAGTGATGACATGCCAAACACTCTGCTATCATGCATGCTACCTGGTAAGCCAACAAAAACATTCCAAAAGAGGCCTCTACCATCCACAACACCCTGCAGGACGAGCGAGTGCCAGCCTTTGCGGTTGAAATACTCGTTGTGGTATTCCTCTGGTCTCAGAATGGGGATGTGTGATCCATCTACTGCACCTACACACTGTGGCACACCCCATCTGCACTCAAAAAATAATGCCATCTCCTCTAACTTCTCAGCGTTCGGCCATGGCATGAACTCACAAAGGAGTATGCTCACAACAGAGGAGCAGAACTCGTGCACACAGTAACACACTGTAGATCTGCCGACTCCAAACAAATGAGAGATGGTCCTGTACTCAGAGTTGGTCGCAAGTTTCCACAGTGCTATGGCGATTTTTTTAGCCACAGGGACACACTCCCGGAAGTTGGTGTCGCTTCTCCCCAACGTTGCTTCCAGGCGACTACAGAGGTATTGGAAAGAGTGCTTGGACATTCTGAAATCTTGGATCCACTGCACATCGGTGTACGTCGGCACCACGTTCTCCCACCAGGCCGAGGTTCTATTGTTCACCCAGAGAGAGCGCGGGACACGACGCGTCCCGTAGTATTTGCATATCTGGAACACATACAAAGGCGCAAATTAGCTCTACATAACTCCACAAATCCTACATTAGATAGTATTAATAATTTACTGAACTTACCATTGCTGTTCTTAGGGCGTGAAAACGCTCATCGTCATCAGCCATCCTACGGTGAAACATGGCAGTCATGTGTGCTTTCCGTCGGCCCATCCTTTTCCTAAGGCTTTTAAACTGCCTTTGATGCTGAAGAAACTTTGCCATTATAGCATTCAACGTGTGGCGGCTCCGGATCCGAATAGGCTCAGGCCGCATTAACAAAGTTACAAAGCTGTATAACATGAGCACAAACAGCACAACTTCAGTCGACTCCATCTCCATCATGTCTGAGGTCGGAAGGTAAACAACAGACAGTATACGCTGGAAGTTTTTCTTCTTTTTCTTCTCTTGTTTTGTAGCGGATTGCAAACAACTTTAAGGTGCTTACCGCCACCTACTGTACTCACCGTGAAGTGGTTTGTGGCCTGCCAGTAAAGCCAACGCAGAAGAAGAAGAAGTGACGTCAGCGGCTCATTTGCGTAATCTTCCCTCAGGAAAAAGGACTCCGGTGTGAACGCGATCTGTACTAAGTGCCCTGGGGTTAAAAGCGCCGGGGCTCTTATGGCGCAGTTCCACTACAGCGCGGAGCTCGCTTTAAGCGTGCCGTGTCGTGCCGTGCCCGTTTTTGGTTGCGCTTCCACTAGGCCTAGTTCCAGCCCGGCCCGGCCCGGGGCCACTTTTTCACGTCTTTTCTGGCCCGAGAAAATTGTGGTTCTATCGAGGCCAACAAACAGGGCTGAGTCGGGCTGAGTATGCTAAACTAGAGAGAGGAGCGCTGGCAAGGGGGCTACAACTACAACAAGATGGACATATTTGACCGTGATTTAATTGTAATACACGTTTCAAAATGATGCCGAAGTAACAACATACTGATACCGGTTAGTAAAAACCATGAATTAATGCTTTGTCCAGTCTGCAGACAGACGGCAGGCGAAAAACCTTTTAAAATACGTGTTTTTCTAGATGGAGATTGGCTAAGCTAACGCAGTATATGCTCCGACCGTCCACACTCACAACAACGGCCTATACAGACATGAATAAAGCAGCGACTGTATTCACCATGACACAGACAGTCTGTGGTTTGTACTTGTTTAACTTTTGTCGAGTTTCTGAACATATATAAGGAGCTGTGAGCTCTGAGTGCTAACAGCTAACGGCTGTGTTGTGTTTCTGGAGTTCTCATTGAAGATGACGTCACGGCTCCGCCTACACTGCGTTACTATAGTAACTACCCCAGTTCCTAAACTGTAATGGAAGCGCAGCATGAAGTGAGTCGGCCCAACGCGGCCAAGCCGTACCGAGCGTGGCCGAGGCCGACCGTGTAGTGGAAATCCGCCATTAGTGCCGGAACTAAGTACAGGAAAGTACTTGGTGTGAACGCGGCTATAGATAGACTGTGAATCTTCCTCCCTGCTGAGGGTGTCACCAGCACTGCCCATGTTACCCCTCTCATTACATGGGCTGGCTAGTTTAAATCAGCATTGGAGGGTGAAGGGGCAGGCGTGGTTGAGGAGCGGGAGGCTTGCGGGCACTCAAGCCTCATATTGGTCATATGAGGCTTGAAGGGCCAAAGCAGTTGAGGCACAATCGGTAAAGTCTGCAATGCGCATGGGTTGAATGGGTGTCTGAACTACAAACTCTGCATGTAGTGGGAACTGAACCCTGCTGGTGATAGGGTCGGCCAGCTTGCCGATTGCATGGTTGACTGTTTTCAGGCTGACGGGAAACTGCCTGATGGTAACCTGGCCGTTGGCTGCTCTCGAAGGAAGCAGAGCACAATGACAGAACTTTATCAAACATAGCCACTAGCTGCCGAACACCAGGCTCCATGGTTGATGAGTCAATGGTGGCAGGGGCTGAGTTAGAAACAGCAGCAAGGGGTGAAGGCAGTGCATTAGATGCATGTTGACTCACTAGCACATTGTCCAGACGAGGCTGATCGCAGACCCCCACAGGGGTAGGCAGAGAGGTCTGATGGGGATTCAACTGGCATATCCCGAAGGCAGCTTGTGCACAGCCAGGACATGAAGAACGGAAAGAATCAGCCACAGGGCTCTGACTGCAAGCTGACAAACACTCTGTGTGTCGGGACTCAGATGCTGTCCTCCTCGCATTTCTCGTGTAACTCTCCAAACGCCCCTGGACCTCGGATGCAGTCCACTGCTCAGGTGCCTTCAGCTGGAATGACATGGCAAGACTGGGATTGGGACAGTGATTAATGAACATCATGACCACTTCAGCACTGGGGTCCTCAACAGACCTACCTCGTCTCCTCAGGCACTCGTCAGCAGCATCAATGGATTTGTTGAGGCGAATCCAGTAATCCATGGCACTTTCATTTGCACGGGGAATGGTACTATAGAAATCTTTCATTGGCAAATTGGAGTACGAGAGCTCGCTAAAGTTACCTTTTAATATGTCGAACACTGCTGCAGGCAGGGCAGTGACATCCAGTTCGGGGCAGCTGCGGAGCGACACTTTCACCACATCCCTAGCTCTGCCTGTTAGCCTTGACATTATCAGGTCGAACATTTCTTCACGAGTGTCACATTTAATCCTATTCATGTAACATTTCATCATGTCCTCCCATTCATGAACTGAGAATGTGTCACTATGGTCACCCCTGAAGTAAGGTGGAGCCTTAGGCACTGACTCTTTCAGAGTCAGATTTACAAATATTATATTTTGACCTTAATCGAAATATTCGGTTATTTTCAAAAGCTTTTTTAGTCTGATGCTTCGATTCATTTTAAACAGACCGTTGAACAAAAGGATACCCAAAATCTAAATATTGGATTGTTCTTTCTTAGTAAGATCCCATTTTCATTACAGTTGTGGTCTTACCTTGACTTGAAGATGAAGTCCATGCTATCCTTCTGGACAACAATCTCCATTACTTTTTTGTAAAAGTCCTCCTTATCTCCCTCTCGTTTCAAAAGTCTAGTTTGTTGTTACGTCTACCGTCTCTGCGTAGAATTACAGTAGCAACAAGAACCTGTGGGCTCACAGTGCGGCAGAGGTTATGGCTGCCTCTCCTGGTGCTTTTTTCATTGCCGTTGTACGATGAGACCAGCGAGCCTAAATATCATATATACGTGAAATAAGTTATTTAGAAACTATGGATGGCGAGGATAAATGTAATAAAGGGATCTACAAACATTACATTGGTGACCTACAGTGAGAGGGTAACAGGCATGCGCTTAGGGCCCGCTTTCCAGCCAGTTTCTGTGGGGTGACGCATTCTGAGGTGAGGCAGAGCTCATCTGTGCCTCACCTCACCCCACAGTAAGCAAATGAGCCTGGCTTGAGCGCGCTCACAAAATAAATGCCCGCGCTACATTAGTGCCCGCGCTCCAGTCAGTTACTGTGGGCTTACGTGAGGCAGAGCTCGTCCCTGCCTCACTCCTCATCGCTCCCATGTAGTTGTAGCGGAGCTCGCCAATTTGCTGATTTTGACTATAAAAAGCGATTGGAATCATACAGAATTCACACTTACAACACAGATCAGTGGAGACATTTTATTATTATTACTATTTATTTCTTTAGTTGTTTTTCTGTTACATTGGAGTATGACAGGTGAGGCTCTGCCTCCCCTGACTGCACGTCGCTGTGACAAACCATCATGACTGGATGACTGACTCGTAGCAGAATTAGGCTGGATGACACTGGGTTGGTGAATAGCGCTAAGGCTGGCTGAGATGTTATCCGCAATCTGTTTAGCCAAGTCTCTAATCAACACCCCAAATGTATCAACAGAGATGACTTGTGCAGGCTTAGGGCCTGGTGGGATGAATGGTGTGGAACTGGCAGCGGGGACCAAACGTGGATCAATTACCGACTGATCAACTGAGTAGTTGAGAATATTGGGCAACATAGACCTACCCCTACCAAAACTAAGAGAAGCAGCCTGCTGACCCCTCCCCACCCCAAAAGTAAAGTCATGCCCATGACCAGCCATAGCTCAAATATCAAATGTACCACCCTCTGATATCACAATATGCCCAGAAAACTTGTAAAATAAATACCAATGAAAAAAAACAGGTTATCACTCTCAGTACATATAAAAACAGATATAGACATCAAATATCACCACAAGATGAATACAAAAATTGTGTATTTTATTATGTGAAGCACTAAATGGTTTTAGAAAAATATCGACTCTTTGTTTGTAGATATCTACTAAACTAAAACATACAAATAAAGAAAGTAATGTAGGCCTGTTATACTGAGTGATATATATTATACACACTGCTTTCTGCACGGACCTCACAGCTGTTCTCACTGTAAACATCGCGTCGCGATGAAAGCAGTTAATAAAATAATATCCAAGGGATGCATGCAGAGCTGTCATTGGCTGAGATAAGTCCGGCCGTGCGTCACGACTCTTTTAAACATCTCTGTTGCCGGAAATACATCCGTGGAGGTTCCGCGGACTGGCGCGGAGGACCCATCAGTGTATCCTCGATTATAGCTCCTCCAGAGAGCCTCCTCGATGTTCGATCCTCGGTCCTCGAAGTGCATTTAGAGAAATGAGATGTCCTTCAACATGGCGTGCTAAAATCCATTTCCTGGTCACTACCGGAGGACCGAGGATTCGAGGAGTCGAGGAGGGGAAATTAGTGAAATGAGAAAGGGCCAATATATAGGGGGGAAAGTCCTCACAACAATAAACTCCTGAGCACAGCGACCACACTTCAGAGGTTCTGCCCACTGATCTCCGACCTTGCCAGGTATTTAACATTCAATAAAATGAAGAACACAGAATAAAATTATATAAAACACAGAATTTGTGTGATTATACAAAATTAAATTAAATAAAACCCACTGCATATTTACATCTGTTACATATATATAAATATGGGACTGGTATGGCGGATTTTAAACGTTGGGAAAAATGTTTTTGTTTGTGATCATACATTTGTTTTCCATTATATAGGTTTTGATATAATGATTGATCATTAAAGTGTTCTCAAAGCTGGTAAAGGTGCAGCTAGTTTGAATGACTTTGTATACTGTAGGGTAGCTTGTGAATTTACTCCAGGTGGAACTAAAGTCTGATTTAAGACTTGATTATATTTTTAAAAGTACTCAGGTCTTGTACTTCAGTAAAAGTAGAAGTACTCAGATCTTGTACTTCAGTAAAAGTAGAAGTACTCAGATCTTGTACTTCAGTAAAAGTAGAAGTACTCAGATCTTGTAATTCAGTAAAAGTAGAAGTACTCAGATCTTGTAATTCAGTAAAAGTAGAAGTACTCAGATCTTCTACTTCAGTAAAAGTAGAAGTACCAGAGTGTAGGAATACTCTGTTACAGTAAAAGTCCTGCATTCAAAATGTTACTCAAGTAAAAGTAGAAAAGTATTAGCATCAAAATATAGTTAAAGGGGACCTATCATGCTATATTTGAACAATATATTGTAGGGCCATACCTATATAAAGTATATAAATATAGTTTTTTTTTTTAAATACCAGATCCTGCATTTGAGCCATGCCTCATTTCGCTCTATTTGCTCTTTCCAGCCCTGTTTTTGCAGGGGGCTGATTCTGTGAGCTGCAGCGGACCACGCCCCCCTGCAGGAGAGGGGAGCGTGCTTTGAGATCAGCTGCTGGGCTGTCAGAAGAGGGGGAGAAAAAGAGATCTCCGTCCTCCGTGTTTTATTCTTATATATGATTATATAGAGTCGTTATTCATTTGTTTTAAAGCTCAATAAATAACAAAGAAGACCTTTGACCGGCACTTTTCTAATTTTGTCCGGAAGATTTAAACTTTAACGGACATCTTGACCGGCGAAAAAAAACTGAAACTCTGCCGCACGGTCCCCTCGTTCCTTGGAAGAGGCGGAGAGGTGGGTGTTTGTCATCTGCTGGTGGACTAACCGGAGAGAATTACAGCGCTTGCCTCGATGGGGAGGGATTGCATTGAATTAAAGCAGCAGGAGGCGCAAACGCTTGCCTCGGGGAGGGAGAAAAAAAGCCACAGTGGAGAATAAACAGAAGGGCAACCATGGCAACCATGCACGGGAAGTCTTCTTCGCTGCATTTGTGGCAGACTACAGCGCCACTTACAGGCCTGGCATATGTACTACAGCGTCTCCAGCGCTTTCGAGCGGCAATGGCCGGCCGTGGCCCAACCCCACATTCCCCTGATAGGTGGAGAGTTGACCACTAAGCGGAGCACCACTTTTGTGACGTAGAAATAATTCAAATCTGGATCAGTTTTTATCAGATCCGTTGCAGCCCCGTTTTTAGAGATTTGGGTATGGAGGAAAAGAGAGAGGGTTGTGTTTTCTGACACTTGGTGAGTTCCCTGGAACACCGGGGACACATATTCATGTATAAAAGACGTACAAAAGTGCATTTTGCATGATAGGTCCCCTTTAAAGTATCAAATATAAAAGTAGTCATTGTGCAGATTGGTGCATTTCAGAATAATATATATGATATGTTTTATAATGATTGATCATTAGAGTGTTATCAAAGCTGGTAAAGGTCCAGCTAGTTTGAATGACTTTGTATACTGCAGGGTAGCACACAAAAGTTTTACCTCCGCCCGACGTCACGCCAAATCTGCCCTGAACCACTGAGATAAACTCGTCTGATTGATGAAGACAACCACTCTCTCTGAGCGAGAACAAAGAGGAGGAGAGAATATCTTTGTATGCAAATCAACCTCCACCTTCACCGACACTGGGAAAAACACGCCGACATCAAAGGCAGCAGCTGACTGGACTGCAGGAGAAGCAGCAGCTAAATGCTCGTAAGCTTAAATCCTGCAGGGAACCCCACCTCAACACCTACACAGACACATAAATAACATATAGGAATCACAATGATATTAATTTACTGTGTGAGGTATCATCATCGAGAAATATGTGTTTAAGTTATGTAGTGTCTCTACTTTAAAGAGTCCTCTCCTGCTGATGTTCAAGTGTATATCAGTATGTAGTGTCTCTACTTTAAAGAGTCCTCTCCTGCTGATGTTCAGGTGTATATCAGTATGTAGTGTCTCTACTTTAAAGAGTCCTCTCCTGCTGATGTTCAGGTGTATATCAGTATGTAGTGTCTCTACTTTAAAGTAGCGTGTGTGTGTGCGTGCGTGCGTGCGTGCGTGCGTGTGCGTAGATGCGGCGGACAGACTGGTCTCAGTTGGTTTGGTTTCTCCTGCTTAATTTGAATAATTGTGAATACAACTTTCATCCCGTCATTTCATTTCCCCATTGTAGCGACCACTCTCTGACAGTGTTATATTTTTAGGAGAGTGTACCACCCAAGGTTCTGTGGGTGAATTATGTAAACCCACCACAAGAGTATATATATATATATATATATATAAGTATATATAACTGTATATGTGTGTGTGTATATGTCGGCATCTGTAGCCTGCTATTGTCTCGTTATACCAAACTGTGAATTAGTTCAAGTAAATATATAAGTTGTCATGAACACAGTTCTGTCCATCAGAGTGCTGCTGTGTCATCATTAATAGACGTCGCTTTAAAATGACGATCAGAGGAGAGGATTTCTAATTTCTCTAAACGCCTGCTGCTTCCACTCCTCTCTCCTGTTTTACTCAAGTACAAGATCTGAGTACTTCTACTTTTACTAAAGTACAATATCTGAGTACTTCTACTTTTACTAAAGTACAATATCTGAGTACTTCTTCTTAAATTACTCAAGTACAATATATGAGTGCTTCTACTTTTACTCAAGTACAAGATCTGAGTACTTCTACTTTAACTAAAGTACAAGATCTGAATACTTCTCCCACCTCTAATATTTAAAGTACATTCCTCCTGACTGGTGGTTGATATCTTGCAGTACCGCAGTCCAGCCGCTAGATGGCAGCAACATATTTCCTGAGTCTTTTTCAAGTCAGCGGATCTGTCGCGGTTCCGCCTTCACCAGAACAGTCACAATGTAAACAAACTCTCCTTCATGAGGATCATCAGCTCCTGGTGAGAGTCTGCTGTTTTTAAATGTGATTTAAAACATGCTTCAGTTGTATTTGATGCTAACGGTTGACTGCTACTTGCTAACTCTACATTACCAGCATAGCTTGTGCTACATTAGCAAGAACTAGCTCCTAAACTGAAGTTAAATCCAGTTTAATTAACCGGTGTATTACAGTTTGCCTGTTTATTAGGAGGATAAATCATGTCAGGAAACGATTTAAGTCATTTGAAGAGCCTGTTTTTAATCCGTGGTGTATCGGGGATATGTAACTCAAGTACTGTACTTAAATACAGTTTTGAGTTACTTGTACGTTAGAATCCGACTCACAATATCGTCCCACAGACGGGAATGTGTACATTGTTACAGTAAGAAAAGAGCCAAAGATAGCTTCATGTTAATTAAGAAGATTGCATTAAAATACTTAAAGATAAATGTAGAAAGTACACATTTTAGAATATACACATCTAGTACCAGGAACAATTTTGAGATAGCAGCCAGGTGAAAGTATTCAGAGGTAAATGGTGTACTTTTACTCCACTACATGTATTTAATACCTTTAGTTACTTCACAGATTTGGATGAATGATGTGAAATATAATCAAGTGTTAAATCAGACTTTAGTTCCACCTGGAGTAAATCCACAAGCTACCCTGCAGTATGCAAAGTCATTCAAACTAGCTGCACCTTTACCAGCTTTGAGAACACTTTCATGATCAATCATTATAAAACATATCATATATATTATTCTGAAATGGACCAATCTGCACAATGACTACTTTTACTGTCGCTACTTTAACTATATTTTGATGAGAATACTTTTCTACTTTTACTTGAGGAACATTTTGAATGCAGGACTTTTACTGTAACAGAGTATTCCTACACTCTGGTACTTCTACTTTTACTCAAGTACAAGATCTGAGTACTTCTACTTTTACTCAAGTACAAGATCTGAGTACTTCTACTTTTACTCAAGTACAAGATCTGAGTACTTCTACTTTTACTCAAGTACAAGATCTGAGTACTTCTCCCACCTGTGGTAAAGAAACGATACCCAGTGAACTTTGAAATCCTGCTGTTAGTGAACTCTGTAAATGATTGGTAAAATAAATAACTTATTAGTCTGTTTAATGTGGATTGGTTCAGATAGACAGTCCACGCATATATTTCATAATGCATAAAAACATGTACTACACTGCTGTTTACATCTCTTTATATTAGGGCTGTGCGATTATGGCAAAAATCATAATCACGATTATTTTGGTCAATAATTGATATCACGATTATTAAATACGATTATTCATTGACTTTGAAAAAATCAATTTATTGAACTTTAAAACAAATACAAATAATAATTTGAACAGTATCTTTTTAACTGTTGATTACCCTGAACGTATAATTCAACTGAAAAACCAATACAAAAATAAATGATACATTTAAATAAATAATATCAAAATAATAAATACCAATAAACAAGATCAACAAATATTTTGGAGCGCACTTCCCCAAGCTACTAAACATATATAAATATGATAAATACAAATAAATGAGACCAAAGTTCATTAGATCAAATATGTTGCACGGTCACAACCAAGCAAAGCAAAATAATAGTTTTTTTCGATTATGTTGTTTTCGTAATTGTGGCAGGCCAAAATCGTAATTGCGATTAAAATACGATTAATTGCACAGCCCTACTTTATATATATAATATATATAATATTACACATTCATATTACTTTATTTTATATTTAATTACATTTAATATTTCTTTATACTCTATACTAAAAATACACATTGATTGATATTTGATATACATGATACACTTACCTATTGATCTTTTAAACACTACTACTTGTTTGTACTTGTTGTCCACCTGCATGTGTATTTTTGTAAATGGTCATTTCTGTAATATCATCTTTATCTTTAATATTTTATGCCTGCCTCTTAATTAATGTTAGGTATGTTTGGCTCTTTCGCTCTAACAATGTTAATTACCCCTTTGTGGGAAGAATTAAGGTTTTCTGATTTATTTAGGCCTTTTATATTTAAGCTTTATATTTAAACTGTTTGAACGACTTCTTTCAAATGTTGTGTTCATTTGCTGATTTTCTCTTGTATTATGTATTCACATTTAATGAGCCTCAGATTTAAGCTTTTTATTGTCATTCTGTTCATATGATAATGAAGGACTTACAACCTAGAGCCACTCCAGATCTTGCACTATTTCTATTTTATTTCTATTTACTTGCACATCTCAAAACATTCTCTTGCACTGTTGTATCTGTTTTATTTGTTCTATGTCCTTTATATATTCATGTTGCTCTGTTGGAGGAGCCTGGGACTTCAGTTTTCCATTGACATATCTCACATATGACGATATGTCTTTATTAGGATCCCCATTAGCACTAGTATGAGCATTGGCTATTCTTCCTGGGGTCCTCACACACACAACACATACATAAACATGCATAATTTCATGCAGTTTACAGTGCTGTATGAAATGAAAACTAAAATGGTCGTCCAATTTTCGCCATCCTAAGGCCAATCAAAAGAAAATACAAATAAGTGTACATAATAATATCTACATACCCACAGGCACAGTTCAATGTCACGTTACTTTACAATAAAGCCTTGAATCTTGATCTTGAATGTTGAATCAAAGATTATCATCACTCATTAGCAGGTTAGGGTGAACAACAGGCTGCAGGGCTCCACATTATAAATGGCCCGCTGGCCCGGAAGCCATATTGGCTCATTTCCCCCATGGCGCGGAGCGCGGTTTAAGCGTGCCGTGTCGTGCCGGGCCCGTTTTTGGTTGCGTTTCCACTATGCCTAGTTCCGGCCCGGGGCTACTTTTTCACCTTTTTTCTGGCCCGACAAAATCGTGGTTCTATCGGGGCCAACAAACAGGGCTGAGTCGGGCTGAGTTTGCTAAACTAGAGAGAGAATCACTGGCAAGGGGGCTACAACTACAACAAGATGGACATATTTGACCGGGATTTAATTGTAATACACGTTTCAAAATGATGCCGAAGTAACAACATACTGATACCGGTTAGTAAAAACCATGAATTAATGCTTTGACAAGTCTGCAGACAGACGGCAGGCGAAAAACCTTTTAAAATGCGTGTTTTCTAAATGGAGATTGGCTAAGCTAACGCAGTATATGCTCCGACCGTCCACACTCACAACAACGGCCTATACAGACATAAATAAAGCAGCGACTGTATTCACCATGACACAGGCAGTCTGTGGTTTGTACTTGTTTAACTTTTGTCTAGTTTCTGAACAGATATGAGGAGCTGTGAGCTCTGAGGACTAACAGCTAACGGCTGATGTTGTTTTTCTGGGGTGCTCATTGAAGATGACGTCACGGCTCCGCCTACACTGCGTTACTATAGATACTACCCCAGTTCCTAAACTGTAATGGAAGCGCAGCATTAAAGTGAGCCGGGCCTAACAAGGCCTAACAAAACCGTACTAAGTCGAGCAAGGCCTGCGGTGGAAATGCGCCATTAGACACCGGGCCAGCATAACGTAGCCTACTTTCCATTTGCCTTGTCCTGTGGTATTGTATTTTGACAAGCAATTTTGTTAAATTGTTCAGTTTATTAATGCCACAACATAGCGTTTCGTGAGGAGGTTGTCGTTGTTGGGTGAAAAGCAAACAGCTGTTCTTTGCTGCGGAGCGCAGCACGAGCAGGCTCCCGTGTGGGAGCGCGCTCGTTCACTACAGACTTTCTCGCCACCTAACCATTCGCCAAAATGATTTTAAACCAGCGGTAACCGGCCAAGCACCGGGCAAAAAACAATCTTTAAATTAAAGAAAGTCACCGGAGGAGTTAAAGGAGAGTGGCAGGGAGTATGAGAAGAAGAGGGAGAGAAAGTTTCAGCCACACTGGCTTGATCGATGGAGTTGGCTTCAATATGACGATGGGTCTTTTGTCGGCTCTGTACATCAATGCCGACCTATGCTGACAAGTAAGTGAAGAGTAGAACAAATATAAAGGTATTAGCTATAGGGAAATGTCCCAGCAGTTTAAGATAATGAAGGTTCTAATCTAGGCTAGTACATAGCCATTACATGCTAACTCCTGATAATGACAGGAAGTCAGAAAATGTATTATAAAAATAATAATACTCATAGCAGAAATGTGACCCTCCTTCTTCTTTTTTAACAATGACCACAATATAATAATTTTAATAAACCAAATATGAGCAATTGAGGAAAAGGAGGAAGAACTGATGATTAAAATGTTGTAGTACAAGTAGTAATGTAGTTTGTGCATAAATTACTATTGCAACAAATGTGTTAATTTTCTTCATTATTAGAGTCGATTTTTTGGACGAATGCTCTTGGGCCAGTGGTTACAATGTTGTAATGTCTACCCCTGGTGTGTCATTTTGTATATAAATTGCATTTGTATCAACTGTACTCTACATTTCAGCGCGGACCTGATTGGATGTTTCCGTCGTCAGCATGGCTTCCAGTTTTTCTCCTCCCAAACTGTCAGACTTCATCCTCACGGAGCGCCTCGGCAGCGGCACATACGCCACCGTCTACAAAGCCTACAGGAAGGTGGGTTGGTGGAAGAGTCGGAGGCATGGGCGACACTTTTTTCAGATACAAATAAAACTGTATTGCACGCCACCCTTTTTACTTTTGTACACACGGCTAATAAAAGAAATAAAATAGAAAAACTGAACTTAAAACTGCCGCTTGAGCACCATGAAGCGAGTCTTACGCAGGTTAATGAGATAAGATAAGATAAAATAGGATTATATATTTATCTCGAAGGAAATTGTTGTGCCAGAGTTACAAAAATACAATAAACACAGCAGCATAATAATAAAACTGTACACTAACAGTGCAGTGCAAAGAGCAATTATAGTAGTATAGCAAAAATAGTGAACGTCCAGGCAGAATATCCTTTCTTCCATTTATTGCATATTCCCATTAACATACAGAACAATAGGCGCGTTCACACCAAGTACTTTTCCCTCAATAGTTCATGAGAGCTCTTTTAGTTCTGATGAACTAAAGCAGATCGCGTTCACACCAAAATGAGTTCCTGGGGGTGGATTAGGCAAATGAAGCAGCTGACGTCACTTCTTCTTCTTCTGCTTTGGGTTTACTGGCAGGCCGCAAACAACTTCACGGCGAGTACAGTAGGTGGCGGTATGCACCTTAACGTTGCAATCCGCCAAAAAACCGAGAGAAGAAGAAGAAGAAAAACCTCCCCCGTATACTGCCACGCCCACCTGCTGTATATGAGGCGTCTGTTTACCTTCCGACCTCAGACATGAGCTTCGTCTGAGTTATTTAAGCAAACACAAATACAGATCGTCGACCAGTCAAATGCAATAGCAATGCTGATTCGGAGGCGACGGCGGTTAAGAAGGATTGACAAAAGGATTGGATGACGACATGCACGCGCTACGCTACGTGTGAAATGAATAAACTGTGCCAGGTGTGTCGTATGCACACTAAATAGGCTCAGCAGTTAACACACCTTTATTATATATCCTCCTGAGAACAACTGCATCCGTCTGCCATGAACCCTACAGAAACCTACGTGTTAGTTGTGGCCCATAGTGGCCTCCATTTGTGTCGTGTAAAATGGGGGAAATCAAAAGTTAGCAAATCCCCATGTCATGTTCATAAAAACATTTAGTTTTAGGTCAAATAATTATTACACTGCTCTGAAACTCACTACACTAACTCCTAAGATGTTCCCTTACTATAATTAATTAAAAATATTGAACTCACAACACTGGTAATAACAAACTTAACCATTTCTCTTTCTATAAATAGATGGACGCCATTTTGAAATACAATGAAATTATCTTTTTGAAAGCCACAATAAATAAAGCTTCGCCAGTTTATAACCGATGAAACATGATGGTATCAGAATAATCACTTAAATGTGATGTATAGGATGCTACACAGGTCACTGTAAAGATAAAGTGTCAGAGGAGAAATAAGCAAGCTTAGTTACATGAAATGTAATGAAAAATGTAAGATACAGGCTCTGTTTAATCGCCATGTAGGTTCTCTTTTATTGCACACTCAAGACAATATCAATAACAGCATCACGCTGTCCCAGGTGTGTCGTATGCATGTGAATAGAAGTTAACATTTTCAATATCAAATAAAGTGTCAGTAGTATCAAAACATATATATATATATAATAACAATAGGTAGGCTCAGCAGCAGACACACCTTAGTGCAAAGTGAAGTGTCAGTATTAATAACAGTGGCATATATATAATCACAATAATACAAAATGAACTGTCCCAGGTGTAGGCAATTTGGGGTGAAGTGTCTTGCCCAGGGACACAACGACATGCTTACTGCAGTGGGGTTTGAACCTGTGCTCCCCTGAGCCGAACACCAACGCACCAGACCACTGCACCCCACGCCTCCCAACAAGTCATTGTACAGTTTATCAACGACGACAAGTTTTTATTTATTTTTGTATTGAAGGCCTGTTGGATTTAATCAGCTCGCTTTGCACTGCCAGAAGCCCAGCCTGAAAGGTATTTTGTTCCTCCACCTGGCGCGCCGACACCTCCACCTGGCGCGCCGCAGAGTCAGCATGGCGCTGCATCACCATGTCGTCCGATTCCTGGGCCTTGTGTGAATGCAGCAGCCGTTCGTCGTGCATCTCCTTGGCACGCAGGTCCTCATTCTCCTTGCTGATCATGGCACGGCGGGCCATCGCCATGATGGTGTCAAGGAAGCTGTCATCGCGTGCCCGCTTTCCTAAGGAGAAATAAGCAAGATACAAGATCAGTTTAATCACCTAGTAGGTTGTCAACAGAGACAACATTGGACATGGTGCAGGCAGGGACAGTGTACAAAATGCAGGTGTAAAGTAGAAGATAAGATAGGATCAAATAATATAAAATAAAAAATAAATATCAAAGTGCCCTTATTTATTGTTTTGTGCTTAATGTATGCTTGAACTTTGTTTTATATGGATTAGTGGACATCAGTTAGGTTCAGAAGGTTACGCATCTAACTTCAAGGCCAGAGTAGTTACAGTGTAAGTGGATTGACATCTAACATAACATGGCTGAGTACAATTATAACAATCAATAAAAAAAATTACATTTTTACTTAAATGTGCAAAATATTAGAACATCAGTCTTTGTGGCATGCAGGTAATCAACTGTTTAAGCTTTTACCATTAAAGGTAGGGTAGGTAAGTGTGAGAAACCGGCTCGAGATACACTTTTTGTTATATTCCATGGAATGCTCTTAACATTCCGATAGCAATTAATATCTTAAGTGCTTTGACAAAAAATCCATAAAAAAATTTCATCTGTGGAAGCCGTAGTACTGTAAAAAGCACGACCAATCATCTGAGCCGGCCCGGCTAAAATAACTGGATGGCCTACCTGCCTGTCAGCCTTCCATCGGGGCACAAACTTATCTCGTGCCCTCATTGGTCATGTGCGCGTTCGTGTGTGTTGGAGGAGGGGCTCTATAAGGAAGTGGCAGATTTCTTCCGGCATGGTGCATACATAAAAGTAAAACAAAAATTACAAACACAGATAGAGAACTATTTTAAGAAAACTATAATAACATTAAAACATGTAAAATACAGTAAAACATTGCAGTATTTACAATGAAATAGAAATGGAATATATATTATTATCTGTGTGAGGAACATTATTGAGCTCATTGCAAACAGAAGTCCCCCATCTCCCTGTAAAGAACAAAAGTTCTGACTTTTTTTCTCAAAAGTTCTGACTTTTTTCTCAAAATTCAGACTTTCTCAAAATTCAGACCTTTTTCTCAAAATCGTAAATTTCTGACTTTTTCTCAAAATTCTGACTTTTTCTCAAAATTCAGACTTTTTTCTGTTTATTTCTACTCTCTAGTTTCTACATGTTTTGTTGTAATGAAAGTGTATGTGTTGGTGTTGCAGGGCGACAGTCGGGAGGTGGTGGCGGTGAAGGTGGTTTCCAAGAAGTCTCTGAACAGAGTCTCTACAGAGAACCTGCTCACAGAGATAGAAATCCTCAAAACCATGAGACACCCTCACATCGTGCAGCTCAAAGACTTCCAGGTACGCTTATTTATATATAGAAGCCACGATTATCAGAGATCTGTCGTACATTCTATACATTTTTTCACTGTCTATATTTTGGAGTTGCTCTATGTTTATGATATCGTTACTTATTATAGCTGGATCAATTATGGACTGCATTAGGTGGGTCACGTTGGCAAGGCAAGTTTATTTATATAGCACTTTTCTGTACGCGACAATTCAAAGTGCTTTACAAAACAAATTAAAATACTTTTTATGAATAAATACAGTAAAAACACATTATATAATGGCATTTTACAACAGGCATTACAAAGCAAAGATGGTGTGTGTGTGTGTGTGTGTGTGTGTGTGTGTGTGTGTGTGTGTGTGTGTGTGTGTGTGTGTGTGTGTGTGTGTGTGTGTGTGTGTGTGTGTGTGTGTGTGTGTGTGTGTGTGTGTGTGTGTGTGTGTGTGTGTGTGTGTGTGTGTGTGTGTGTGTGTGTGTGTGTGTGTGTGTGTGTGTGTGTGTGTGTGTGTGTGTGTGTGTGTGTGTGTGTGTGTGTGTGTGTGTGTGTGTGTGTGTGTGTGTGTGTGTGGTCTGAAGCCACACGAGGACAATAACGCAAACAAACCGAAATCGATATCAAAAAAGTATTCCGTCCACACGCAACAGAAACGTGTCCGTCGAGAGACGAGACCGCTCGAAAGCGCTGGAGACGCTGTAGTACATATGCCGGGCCTGTAAGTGGCGCTGTACTCCGGCCACAAACGCAGCGAAGAAGACTTCCCGCATGGTTGCCTTTCTGTTTATTCCCCGCTGTGGACGCTCTGGCTCTTTTTCTCCCTCCCCGAGGCAATATATTGCACATGGTTGGCATGTGCTCCTGCTGCTCTCCGGTTAGTCCACCAGCAGATGACAAACACCCACCTCTCCGCCTCTTCCAAGGGACGAGGGGACCGTGGGGCAGAGTTTCAGTTTCAGTTACTTTCGCCGGTCAACATGTCCGTTAAAGTTTAAATCTTCCGGACAAAATTAGAAAAGTGCCGGTCAAAGGTCTTCTTTGTTATTTATTGAGCTTTAAAACAAATGAATAACGACTCTTTATAATAATATAAGAATTAAAAATGGAGCCTCTCTTTTCCTCCCCCTCTTCTGAGAGCCCAGCAGCTGATCTCTGAGCAGGAGAGGTGGGGAGAGGCGGGGCTATTGCTTCAACGTTATCAGGACATGATCGTCTAGGCGTAGACACGGAGCCGTTTGCCCCCCCAGAGCGTTGCCTCCCCAGATCTACCCACCTAGGGACCCGTTATCGTTATCGTTTTCTGCGTTTCCGTGTCGGCCTCGTGTGGCCGAACCGTCTATCTGATAGAGAACTGTAGCGGATACGACCGTTATCGTCCTCGTGTGGCTGCAGCCTGAGTTGTGTAAGGTATGGGTGAGGTGTGTGTGAGTTGTGTTTGACGTGTGTGTGAGTTGTGTTTGACGTGTGTGTGAGGTGGGATTTTGTGATAGCTAGATTATTATAATTATTTGTTTTTGTGTGTTGTACTAAGTTGATCATTTTCATTAAAGTAAGATTTTGTTCAACACATCTTTGGATCTCAGCATATCTTTTTAGATAGCTCGTCTGAAAACCATGCAGAACCTCAGCCTCTCAGAAACTCTGTTTGTTCCTGAGCTTGCTACATTATATGTTTTAGATTTGAGCTTCTACAAAACAAATGAGGGATGGGTTCGAGAACTATATAAATAAATCCACCATCAGATCTAATTAACCTATACCCTGCACATTTAAACAATGGTGTGTATCTATCTGTATCCATTAAAGCTATGTTGATTTAGAATCGCCCTGCAGGACACATCACTCAGTATATGTGTATTTTCTAGAATAAATGAAAGTCTTTCTACATTTAAATATGCTGCTGATGGTCTGAACCCTCCTCTGTGACCAGTGGGATGCTGAGAATATCTACCTGATCCTGGAGTGGTGTTCTGGTGGAGATCTGTCGTGCTTTATTCGAAGTCGCAGGATTTTACCTGAAACTGTGGTCCGGCGCTTCCTGCAGCAAATCGGTGAGTCAGCGGCTTCTCTGGGTATCAATTAGTATTATTATATATTTTTGGGGATTTAGTAAGAAACCATCAAATAAGAACAATAATACGTTTTAATTTAGGGAGTGTGACAGCCATCGTGTATTTAGTATTTTCAGCCATTGTGTAAATTGTTTGAGTAGTAACTGTTGTGTTAGAAAGAAAGTGTGTGTGTGTGTGTGTGTGTGTGTGTGTGTGTGTGTGTGTGTGTGTGTGTGTGTGTGTGTGTGTGTGTGTGTGTGTGTGTGTGTGTGTGTGTGTGGTGTGTGTGTGTGTGTGTGTGTGTGTGTGTGTGTGTGTGTGTGTGTGTGTGTGTGTGTGTGTGTGTGTGTGTGTGTGTGTGTGTGTGTGTGTGTGTGTGTGTGTGTGTGTGTGTGTGTGTGTGTGTGTGTGTGTGTGTGTGTGTGTGTGTGTGTGTGTGTGTGTGTGTGTGTGTGTGTGTGTGTGTGTGTGTGTGTGTGTGTGTGTTACACAGCCTGTGCCCTGCAGTTTCTTAATGAGCGAAACATCTCTCACCTGGACCTGAAACCTCAAAACATCCTGCTCAGCGGGTCCATCCTAAAACTGGCAGGTGATCACTCGCACACACACACACACACACACACACACACACACACACACAGATACATGAACTGAATAACTATTGTCGTATTAGTAGTAATGCTTATTACTTGGTATTACGTTTTACTCTTCTATGCCGATAGAATATTTTATGTTAGCCTTTTATTTCACATGTTTACTCTCATTTGTTATAATTATAGAAATATTTTAAAGCAATTGTATTTGATTGGGTCTTTGTTTTTTTACCTATATATATATATATATTATTATTTTTAATTTGTTCTAATCTGGAGAAACTGTCACCAAACCTATCTCCCCTCGGAAGAAATAATGTACTCTTGGTCTGATAAACTGCATTTCCTCTCTGCTCTCCCATACCTCCACAGCTCAGCCTTTAATTGAATCTCTAATTAAAGGCTAATTCAAACTCTGACTACTTTTAAATCCTGGCTGAAGACTTTTCTTTTTGCCGCTGCTTTTAATTGATATTCATATCTCACACTGCACTGTAACTTTTATTCATGTACCTGTGTTATTCTTGTTTTATTATCTTTGCTTTTTAAATGCTATTTTATAATATGTTTCTTAATGCTCTTAATGTCTTTCATTTTTGTAAAGCACTTTGAATTGCGTTGTGTTGAAAAGTGCTATAAATACACTTGCCGTGTGTTAGAACAATCTCCCTAGTCCCCGGCTTGAGCTTCAATCTCAGGATCCATGTATTTGTGATCCTCTCCAGAATGGAAGTAGTCATCACATACAGAGCATCAACTAGTTCCTGAACAGTGTCCTTCACATGCTGATATCCAAGAGAGGGAGTCACACAGTCACAAGATGGAGGAATAGAAAGCAGTACATCCTGTCATGTACAAAATCTCAAAATCCTGACTTTTTTTTAAAGAATCTGACTTTTTCTAAAAGAATCTGACTTTTTCTAAAAAAATCTGACTTTTTCTCAACATTTTGACTTTTTCTCAAAATCCCCCAAAAATCGGACTTTTTCAAAAAAATCACAAAATTCTGAATTTTTCTCAAAATCCCCCAAAAATCTGTCTTTTTCTCAAAATCTCCACATTCTAACTTTAAAAAAAAAAATCTGACTTTTTTTCTCAAAAAAAAAATCTGACTTTTTCTAAAAAATCTGACTTTTTCTCAACATCTAAAAAATGAATGACTTAAAAATGTTAATAATCTCTCGTCACCGGCTTGAGCTTCAATCTCAGGATCCATGTATCTGTGATCCTCTCCAGAATGGAAGTAGTCATCACATACAGAGCATCAACTAGTTCCTGAACAGTGTCCTTCACATGCTGATATCCAAGAGAGGGAGTTACACAGTCACAAGATGGAGGAATAGAAAGCAGTATTCAATGTTTACTTCAGATTAGCTCCACGTCAGAAATGATCATGCTTGTCATATGTCTATCTCCATAGAGGCTGAATCATCATGTTAATCACATAGCTATCATATGCCTCAAACAGTCCTGATGCTCTTCTAGGTAATCATACATCCTGTCATGTACACAGCTACAGTTGGGATACCTTTGTTATCATGTTGCTCTCAGATTGGAAGAGGACATTCACTATTTTCCCAACACCTTGCCTTGCCTCTACTGTTGGTGCCTCGTCTCAGACCTGTCACATTGAATCGTGTTTCCCTCTGTGATTTGCTCTCAGATTTTGGCTTTGCTCAGTACATGTCTCCGTGGGATGAGCAGAGTTCCCTGAGAGGCTCTCCGCTCTACATGGCTCCGGAGATGGTGTGCCGACGGCAGTACGACTCCAGAGTGGATCTGTGGTCCGTGGGCGTCATCCTCTACGGTCAGTGAGAGAAAACATGGATCACACGCCTCAAATTAGTTGTAATGCTACTTTGCAGAGATGGTAAAATTACACGCATCCTTTCCTCAAGTAGAAGTACAGATACTCGTGTTTAAAAATACTCTGGTAAAAGTAGAAGTACTGACTAAACTTCTTTACTCAAGTCAAAGTAAAGAGGGCTTTGAAATGTACTTCAGTAAAAAGTACCCATAACTAGCAGCTGTTTTAAAGAGTACCTGACCTCCCTTTATATTAATAGAACAATAATGTCATTGTTAGCTAATGAATGTTTCCATGCTGAACAACGGCAACATGACAACGTTTTCATTGGTCCCTCTTCTTTAGAGAAGACCAGGAAATGATGGATACACGGATCGTGTTCAAATCAATAGGCACGCAATGACTCTAAATAATAATGATCACGCCACCAAACACACATTCAAACTAAAGGAACCAGCCTGTTTGGGAAATGTAAGAAGTAGAAAGTACAGGTATTTGGGTTCAACATGTAAGAAGTAGAAAGTACAGGTATTTGTGTTCAACATGTAAGAAGTAGAAAGTACAGGTATTTGTGTTCAAAATGTAAGAAGTAGAAAGTACAGGTATTTGGGTTCAAAATGTAAGAAGTAGAAAGTACAGGTATTTGTGTTCAACATGTAAGAAGTAGAAAGTACAGGTATTTGTGTTCAAAATGTAAGAAGTAGAAAGTACAGGTATTTGTGTTCAACATGTAAGAAGTAGAAAGTATAGGTATTTGTGTTCAAAATGTAAGAAGTAGAAAGTACAGGTATTTGTGTTCAACATGTAAGAAGTAGAAAGTACAGGTATTTGTGTTCAAAGTGTAAGAAGTAGAAAGTACAGGTATTAGTGTTCAAAATGTAAGAAGTAGAAAGTACAGGTATTTGTGTTCAAAATGTAAGAAGTAGAAAGTACAGGTATTTGTGTTCAACATGTAAGAAGTAGAAAGTACAGGTATTTGTGTTCAACATGTAAGAAGTAGAAAGTACAGGTATTTGTGTTCAAAATGTAAGAAGTAGAAAGTACAGGTATTTGTGTTCAACATGTAAGAAGTAGAAAGTACAGGTATTTGAGTTCAACATGTAAGAAGTAGAAAGTACAGGTATTTGTGTTCAACATGTAAGAAGTAGAAAGTACAGGTATTAGTGTTCAAAATGTAAGAAGTAGAAAGTACAGGTATTAGTGTTCAAAATGTAAGAAGTAGAAAGTACAGGTATTTGTGTTCAACATGTAAGAAGTAGAAAGTACAGGTATTTGTGTTCAACATGTAAGAAGTAGAAAGTACAGGTATTTGTGTTCAACATGTAAGAAGTAGAAAGTACAGGTATTTGTGTTCAACATGTAAGAAGTAGAAAGTACAGGTATTTGTGTTCAACATGTAAGAAGTAGAAAGTACAGGTATTTGTGTTCAAAGTGTAAGAAGTAGAAAGTACAGGTATTAGTGTTCAAAATGTAAGAAGTAGAAAGTACAGGTATTTGTGTTCAAAATGTAAGAAGTAGAAAGTACAGGTATTTGTGTTCAAAGTGTAAGAAGTAGAAAGTACAGGTATTAGTGTTCAAAATGTAAGAAGTAGAAAGTACAGGTATTAGTGTTCAAAATGTAAGAAGTAGAAAGTACAGGTATTAGTGTTCAAAATGTAAGAAGTAGAAAGTACAGGTATTTGTGTTGAACATGTAAGAAGTAGAAAGTACAGGTATTTGTGTTCAACATGTAAGAAGTAGAAAGTACAGGTATTTGTGTTCAAAGTGTAAGAAGTAGAAAGTACAGGTATTAGTGTTCAAAATGTAAGAAGTAGAAAGTACAGGTATTTGTGTTCAAAATGTAAGAAGTAGAAAGTACAGGTATTTGTGTTCAAAATGTAAGAAGTAGAAAGTACAGGTATTTGTGTTCAACATGTAAGAAGTAGAAAGTACAGGTATTTGTGTTCAACATGTAAGAAGTAGAAAGTACAGGTATTTGTGTTCAAAATGTAAGAAGTAGAAAGTACAGGTATTTGTGTTCAAAATGTAAGAAGTAGAAAGTACAGGTGTTTGTGTTCAACATGTAAGAAGTAGAAAGTACAGGTATTTGTGTTCAACATGTAAGAAGTCAAAGTAAAAAGTCGTCAGAAAACTAAGTAGTGGAGTAAAGATACCAGAAAAATGTACTTAAGTCCAGTAACGAAGTATTTGTACTCCACTACTTCCCACCTCTGCTGCATTGTAAAAAGATAAAAGGTAAGATTGAATTGATTGAGTCACAGCAGCTTGATAAATAAAGTTATGCACATAATTTGAAAAGTAAACACAAATAAAATGTAACATCTCAAAATAGAAAAATGAAACAGAACAAAATATATACAAGTTGACCGTGAAAGATAAACATTTGTCACTCTACAGTAATGGCTCTGTGTGAGTAACAACGTACTATAGGAGTCATAAACAATTTCTCAACAAAGACCAACACGACTTATTTAAGGTCGCCTAAATAAGATTATTTCAAAGTCAAAGTCAACTTTATTGTCAATCTTTCAGTTTGTGTGTACAGAGAGATCAAAATACCGTTTCCCACAATCCTGAATACAAAACCAAATATATGTATAAAGTATGTATATCCTATATATACAAAATAACAGTCACTTCAATATCTTTGGGAATGTGCATTAGTTCCAGGCTGTCCATAGCAGCGTGGAAAGTGTCTGGTTTTGAGTGTCTGAGTGTGCGTGGGGTCTCACTCTCAGTTACAGGAAATGCATCACTACTTGTTGGTAAAGTCACTGCAGATGGATTGAACTTAACACTGTTTCTGTTCTTTTAGAGGCACTTTTTGGGCGTGCACCATTCGCATCAAGATCATACGCTGAACTGGAGGAGAAGATCCGGAGTAACCAACCTATTGAGGTCAGATTCGTGAAATGAATTAGTTATTTATTAGTGACATTTTGTTAATATTACGACGTACTCACTGTGAAATAAAGCTCCACCGTGCTACGTATTCCTCACTTGATGGATACTCAAAATGTCACAAACTCTAATTTCATAATGAACTTTATTTAAAGAGCACTTTTCATACAACAGATGCACCATGAAGTGCAATAAAAAGCACATTCAGAACATTTAAACTAGGCCAAAAAGACAAAACACTTTGATATGAAGACTGTGGATATAGTAATGAAATGACTAAAATATATAAAAGAGAATTATTGAAGAACATAATGGGAGCTACATTCATTATAAGCCCAATTACATGTCACATGACATGGTACAAATATGTCATATTATGTCTAGATTATCTGTAAAGCACATTGCTTTTTGAAAAGGACTAGAGTTGCTCACTATTGGTATGAGACTATTAGAAAGTGTACACACACTAACAACGCCTGGGGATAAGAGAACTTAAATAATAAATCATATTTGATGAGGCTGAAGTCACCTCTGTTTTTATTGCTCACACTGAACAACAGCTGTAATTAAAAACACATTACCCCTGACTCGTGAGTTTTCTCTCCCAGTATTTGTGAATCTTTGCCATGAAACCACTAGATGGCAGACTTTCACACTTTACCCTCATCCCCCTCAGGACTGTCAGTCACGATTCAGGTACCTTTCTAAAGTTAAATGGAAAATCTGGGATAGAAATAAAATACTTTTTTTGTCGACAGGCCGATACAACATTTACAATTATGACCTGTTTAGAAAACAAATATCTCTACCATAAGTTGCATTTTCAAAAAGGCCCTATTCTGTTTTTGAGTCTTCCCTTCCCTTTAGTGTGTTCTGTAGGTTTTAGTGCATGTAAATGGTCTGCAGAGGCTACAATCCCTGCGTTATGGCCCTATAAATATTCATGTGTATGAGATCACCCATGTAAAAACAAACGTAACAGACTGCTTGAAACTAAAGTAGTATCTGTGTCGCTGTCCTAGTCGTGTGTGAACATTTGATTTTATGATTATCCCGGACAAATATATTGCAATTCATTTTATCCCAATGATCATCTCTACAGACATAACACTCTAAAAGTGGCACTTGAACAAACTGGACTAACAAGTTACACATATTTAACTTGACATTACAGCTGTCCTGATTGCATGCACACACAACCTGTGTATCACCTTTATAACAGTGGAAGATAACGGTATACTGTAAAAGATGGAGGGCTTTCACAACACTCGTGTAGACTGGAGCTAAATGGATTAGCATATGGCTCATTACCCAGGGATTCACTCAAGAGTTTTAAGGTCATCTTTAGATTTTTCCTTGTGAGACTTGAAGGTCTTTGGCAACAATCCGCTGTCCTTCTCCCCGGGGTTTGTCCTGTGGATTTACTGCAACATAATAAGGTCATGTTTTGTGCCTCAGCTGCCTCCCGGGGCCCGAGTATCCAAGAACTGCAGAGACCTTCTTCTGCGGCTGCTGGACAGAAACCCAGACGCCCGGATCACCTTTAAAGAGTTCTTCACGCACCCTTTTGTGGATATGGAGCACATGCCGAGTGCAGAAAGCCTAGTGAAAGCGGTGAGAAGAAAAAGGGAGTGTACGCTGGTGGGAAGTAGTGGAGTACAAATACTTCGTTACTGTACTTCAGTACATTTTTCTGGTATCAGTACTTTACTCCACTACGACTTTTTCTGACGACCTTTTACATTTTGAACCCAAATACCTGTACTTTCTACTTCTTACATTTCTAACACAAATACCTGTACTTTCTACTTCTTACATGTTGAACCCAAATACCTGTACTTTCTACTTCTTACATGTTGAACCCAAATACCTGTACTTTCTACTTCTCTCATTTCCCAAACAGGCTGGTTCCTTTAGTTTGAATGTGTGTTTGGTGGCGTGATCATTATTATTTAGAGTCATTGCGTGCCTATTGATTTGAACACGATCCGTGTATCCATCATTTCCTGGTCTTCTCTAAAGAAGAGGGACCAATGAAAACGTTGTCATGTTGCCGTTGTTCAGCATGGAAACATTCATTAGCTAACAATGACATTATTGTTCTATTCATATAAAGGGAGGTCAGGTACTCTTTAAAACAGCTGCTAGTTATGGGTACTTTTTACTGAAGTACATTTCAAAGCCCTCTTTACTTTTACTTGAGTAAAGAAGTTTAGTCAGTACTTCTACTTTTACCAGAGTATTTTTAAACACGAGTATCTGTACTTCTACTTGAGGAAATTATGTGTTTACTTTTGCCCTCTCTGGCGCTGGCATGTGTGTCTATACTCTACATGACCATGAATAATGTGTGTGTAATCGGCTGAGCACGTGTTAGGTTTTCCCTTCACGCATGACTCTGCATGCACTGACTTTTATCCACCCGGGGAAAACACTATGCATTATTTTATTTCAATTTTTTTGTATTCTAACCTTTTATGCTTTTAACCTTTTTTATATCACCATATTTTATTCAATATGCTCCTTAGATAACTTTTATTTAATTTTCTCCTCATAGCATTGTGAAGCACCTTGAGATGATATTGTTTTTAAAGTGTGCTATATAAAAGAAACATATTGTTATTATTCAGGCTCTCACATAATTATATTTCTGTAAATATTGTCTTTATTTTTCATTTGATACAATAGTCTTAAAACATATATCAGTTGTTTTAAATAGCTTTTATAATTGTTTTTGCTACGTTTTGATCTTTCTCTGTCTTTGCATGCACCATTTCTACCAAAGCAAATTCAGTAGTTTAACAGCAACAGGGTGAGAATGAAAAACAGGACAGCACAGATTCATTTAGTGATGCCACTTCCTGTTTCCTGTCTTCAGAAGGCGATGGTGCTGCAGGCGGTTCAGAAGGACCAGGAGGGAGAGAGAGACGCCGCACTCTGTCTCTACTGCAGCGCTTTGGAGCACTTTGTCCCCGCTATCCACTGTAAGAGCATCACTTCCTGTCTGTGGAGCATAACTTCGGCCCAATCCCAAACTGCCCCCTACACCCTACCCCTACACACTACCCCTCCGTACTACCCCTCCGTTTGCGCGTTCGCGCGGAGGGTCCGCCACATTAAGTGCTGTTCCAAACCAACGAGTGTGGAGCGGTGTGGAGGGGGAGTGGGCTATCAAGCCCTCAAACAGCGAGTCTGCAGCGGTGCTGACTGGAGACCGGTCTCTACCTGACCGGTCTCTACCGGACCGGCTCAACGCTGTGTGTGTCCGTCAGGAAACACGCTGTTTACAAGTAGTTCCAAGTAACATATTTAAAGATGTTTGGAGTTTTATTTGAGTTATTAATTTACATTTTTTGTCAAAGACATGCAGATTTGAAACCGTTGTTACATACAGTTACAGCATTTCCTGTTTCTGCCGGAGAGAGGGGAGTTTGTCCCAAAGCTTGCCGCTGTATTTACTCCCTCCATCTGACAGGAGGGAGTATCGTTCAGCTGCGAGTGTAGCTACAGACGGAGTTCACTCCGTCACGGAGGGGAGGGGTCGAGGAAGTGGTTTGGGATTGGGCCTTCCTGTCTGTGGAGCATCACTTCCTGTCTGTGGAGCATCACTTCCTGTCTGTGGAGCTTTAAATGTACCACACCACAGTTAACTGTCAAAGTGAAACCAAAACCAGAGGTGGAAGAAGTACTCAGATCTTGTACTTGAGTAAAAGTAGAAGTATTCAGATATTGTACTTGAGTAAAAGTAGAAGTACTCAGGTCTTGTACTTGAGTAAAAGTAGAAGTACTCAGATCTTGTACTTGAGTAAAAGTAGAAGTACTCAGATCTTGTTCTTGAGTAAAAGTAGAAGTACTCAGATCTTGTACTTGAGTAAAAGTAGAAGTACTCAGATCTTGTACTTGAGTAGAAGTAGAAGTACTCAGATCTTGTACTTGAGTAAAAGTAGAAGTACTCAGATCTTGTACTTGAGTAAAAGTAGAAGTACTCAGATCTTGTACTTGAGTAGAAGTAGAAGTACTCAGATCTTGTACTTGAGTAAAAGTAGAAGTACTCAGATCTTGTACTTGAGTAAAAGTAGAAGTACTCAGGTCTTGTACTTGAGTAAAAGTAGAAGTACTCAGGTCTTGTACTTGAGTAAAAGTAGAAGTACTCAGATCTTGTACTTGAGTAGAAGTACCAGAGTGTAGGAATACTCTGTTACAGTAAAAGTCCTGCATTCAAAATGTTCCTCAAGTAAAAGTAGAAAAGTATTATCATCAAAATATAGTTAAAGTAGCGACAGTAAAAGTAGTCATTGTGCAGATTGGTCCATTTCAGAATAATATATATGATATGTTTTATAATGATTGATCATGAAAGTGTTCTCAAAGCTGGTAAAGGTGCAGCTAGTTTGAATGACTTTGTATACTACAGAGTAGCTTGTGGATTTACTCCAGGTGGAACTAAAGTCTGATTTAACACTTGATTATATTTCACATCATTCATCCACATCTGTGAAGTAACTAAAGGTATTAAATACATGTAGTGGAGTAAACGTACACAGTAGCAAAACATTTGAATACTCTAGTACAAGTACCTACAAAAATGGTAATTAAGTAAATGTACTTAGTTACTTCCCACCACTGACCACATCTTGTCTCCTCTGCAGACGAGACAGACCGACAGCGTAAAGAAACTCTCCGACAGAAGGTAGGTCTGAAAACTCTCTCTCTTTCTCTATTCTCAACATATGTAAGTGACTGTCTCTCATGTTATGAACCTGCAAGGACACTCTGAAGCAGCACAAATCATATCAAATATAAAACAGTAATAGAACTCAAAACAAAGTGCCGCTGAGACACCCGTCAGCGAATCTTACACATGGGTTTAAAAAAGGTCCGAGCAAAAAGTCATCGTGTGCATTTTATTTTCTTAATACCAGAATATACAACAGTTTATTTTTCTATTTTCTTGCCTCGTGCATACCCGATGGTAAACAACCTACCGGGGCACTCCCCATAAACACCAGGTCTCCCATAAACTGCCTTCTCAACATAAAAGCATAAAACAACTTATTTGATCTACTTCAATAACACTCGAAGGAAAGGAAGATTTACTTAATAAAATATATGGATAAGTATTAAATAGTATAAGTCCGTATATGGCTCCGTCACTCAGATCTTCCAATATTTCACTTTTTAGAAGAATGCATTACAAGAAAACTGGGGAGGCTCCTTTCTGTTTCTATATCGCCCCAAACATTTGATCTTAGAACAGCAACCTCAATTGGAGTTTTTAAAAGTAAATTAAAGGGGACCTATCATGCAAAATGCACTTTTGTATGTCTTTTCTACATGAATATGTGTCCCCGGTGTTCCAGGGAACTCACCAAGTGTCAGAAAACACAACCCTCTCTATTTTCCTCCATACCCAAATCTCTAAAAAAGGGGCTGCAACGGATCTGATAAAAACTGATCCAGATTTGAACACTGTCCTGACGTCAGGACGGTGGCGCTACGGCTATTGGGCCAACTCCACCAATCAGGAGGAGACAGCCACGGCCATTGCCGTTCGAAAGCGCTGGAGACGCTGTAGTACATATGCCAGGCCTGTAGGTGGTGCTGTTCTCACTGAATCAACCCTTGCTAAAACAGATCTAAAAAATGTCAAATTGAGCAAAATGAGGCATGGCTAAAATGCATGATCTGTTTGGTATTTTTATAAATATGCCTTATATAGGTATGGTCCTACACTATATTATTCAAATATAGCATGATAGGTCCACTTTAAAGGATGTGTGAACTTTTGCCATCTCTGGATTTGATTAAGTTGAGTAAATGTGAGATGACTTCCTTCAGGTGCGTCAGTACGTTTCCAGAGCCGAGGAGCTGAAATCACTGCTGGCCTCGGACAACAGGCTGAGTTTTGAGGAAGCCCGGAACTCCAGGGATATCCTCCGAGGTAAAAAACACATCTTAGGGCAGAGAGAAGGCCACTGGGCAAAACGGGGAATGAAGACGAAATTTGAGTAGATACAGATTTGAAACGAGTGTTAAAACCTGCCAGTAATCCAACCAGAAAGTGCAAAGAGGTTTCAATGAATACACAAAACAAACAGTACTGTAGTAATGTGTATACTTTATAAATATCTTCCTACAGAAATGTATAGTTGGGTCCCAGCACATGAACTGCCGAAAGCTAAGTTGCATATGTTGGGCAATTAGCATAAGTTGCGTTGATAAGCATCATAGTTTATGTTGATAATAGTAAAACAATTACAGATTTTGAAAATGTTGGGGGTTATTGAGGATGCTGAGTCCATTTCAGGGTCAGAAATTGCAGTTTTTACCAGACATATTTGCTGATATTGATGAATTTTGGATTGGACAGATAGCTTATTTATCTCAAAACAAATTGTCCACAGTAGAGGTATTCATTTCCATCTCGTGCTCTCTATATCGAATGGTCGCTACACCGCTCATGGTAGTCCAACTCAGCCCACAGAGAGTACAAATATGGCCTCTTTCTGGTTTTATCTGACATTTTTGATCCTGAAAATGTCAGAAATGGATTCAGCATCCTCACTAACCCCCCAAAACTGCTCCAAAACTGTCCAAATCGGCCGACAATTTGTTCACTATTGTCTGCCTGGGCTGTCATGCTAATTTGTGCAAATGAAGGCAACTTGTAACAGAAAGTAATCAGATTACTTTGATATTGTGATACTCAGATGAGGTAACTGATTACATTCTTTGACATGTAACTAGTTATTGTAACGGATTACATGTTTAAAGTTACCCTCCCAACTTTGCTGCTGCATTAAGACCGACTAACATTAGGACTAAAACTATTGTTCCTTTTTCTTTCCGCTCCAGAAATGTCTCGAGATAAACCCCGGCTTCTCGCTGCTCTGCAGGCGTCGTCTGCTGCCATCACTAAGGTACATAGATTCAAGACTCAAGGCTTTATTGTCATTTGTACATTAACTACAGCGTAGATATGGCAATGGAAAACTTAAAGGTTACCTATTAGGCAAAATACACTTCCTCATGTCTCTTCTTCATCAACATGTGTCCCCTCTTCTTCATGTCTCTTCTACATCAACATGTGTCCCCTCTTCTTCATGTCTCTTCTACATCAACATGTGTCCCCTCTTCTTCATGTCTCTTCTTCATCAACATGTGTCCCCTCTTCTTCATGTCTCTTCTACATCAACATGTGTCCCCTCTTCTTCATGTCTCTTCTACATCAACATGTGTCCCCTCTTCTTCATGTCTCTTCTACATCAACATGTGTCCCCTCTTCTTCATGTCTCTTCTACATCAACATGTGTCCCCTCTTCTTCATGTCTCTTCTACATCAACATGTGTCCTCTCTTCTTCATGTCTCTTCTACATCAACATGTGTCCCCTCTTCTTCATGTCTCTTCTACATCAACATGTGTCCCCTCTTCTTCATGTCTCTTCTACATCAACATGTGTCCTCTCTTCTTCATGTCTCTTCTACATCAACATGTGTCCCCTCTTCTTCATGTCTCTTCTTCATCAACATGTGTCCCCTCTTCTTCATGTCTCTTCTTCATCAACATGTGTCCCCTCTTCTTCATGTCTCTTCTTCATCAACATGTGTCCCCTCTTCTTCATGTCTCTTCTACATCAACATGTGTCCCCTCTTCTTCATGTCTCTTCTTCATCAACATGTGTCCCCTCTTCTTCATGTCTCTTCTACATCAACATGTGTCCCCTCTTCTTCATGTCTCTTCTACATCAACATGTGTCCCCTCTTCTTCATGTCTCTTCTTCATCAACATGTGTCCCCTCTTCTTCATGTCTCTTCTACATCAACATGTGTCCCCTCTTCTTCATGTCTCTTCTACATCAACATGTGTCCCCTCTTCTCCATGTCTCTTCTACATCAACATGTGTCCCCTCTTCTTCATGTCTCTTCTACATCAACATGTGTCCCCTCTTCTTCATGTCTCTTCTTCATCAACATGTGTCCCCTCTTCTTCATGTCTCTTATACATCAACATGTGTCCCCTCTTCTTCATGTCTCTTCTACATCAACATGTGTCCCCTCTTCTTCATGTCTCTTCTACATCAACATGTGTCCCCTCTTCTTCATGTCTCTTCTTCATCAACAGGTGTCCCCTCTTCTTCATGTCTCTTCTACATCAACATGTGTCCCCTCTTCTTCATGTCTCTTCTTCATCAACATGTGTCCCCTCTTCTCCATGTCTCTTCTACATCAACATGTGTCCCCTCTTCTTCATGTCTCTTCTTCATCAACATGTGTCCCCTCTTCTTCATGTCTCTTCTACATCAACATGTGTCCCCTCTTCTTCATGTCTCTTCTACATCAACATGTGTCCCCTCTTCTTCATGTCTCTTCTACATCAACATGTGTCCCCTCTTCTTCATGTCTCTTCTTCATCAACATGTGTCCCCTCTTCTTCATGTCTCTTCTACATCAACATGTGTCCCCTCTTCTTCATGTCTCTTCTACATCAACATGTGTCCCCTCTTCTTCATGTCTCTTCTACATCAACATGTGTCCCCTCTTCTTCATGTCTCTTCTACATCAACATGTGTCCCCTCTTCTTCATGTCTCTTCTTCATCAACATGTGTCCCCTCTTCTTCATGTCTCTTCTACATCAACATGTGTCCCCTCTTCTTCATGTCTCTTCTACATCAACATGTGTCCCCTCTTCTCCATGTCTCTTCTACATCAACATGTGTCCCCTCTTCTTCATGTCTCTTCTACATCAACATGTGTCCCCTCTTCTTCATGTCTCTTCTTCATCAACATGTGTCCCCTCTTCTTCATGTCTCTTATACATCAACATGTGTCCCCTCTTCTTCATGTCTCTTCTACATCAACATGTGTCCCCTCTTCTTCATGTCTCTTCTACATCAACATGTGTCCCCTCTTCTTCATGTCTCTTCTTCATCAACATGTGTCCCCTCTTCTTCATGTCTCTTCTACATCAACATGTGTCCCCTCTTCTTCATGTCTCTTCTTCATCAACATGTGTCCCCTCTTCTCCATGTCTCTTCTACATCAACATGTGTCCCCTCTTCTTCATGTCTCTTCTTCATCAACATGTGTCCCCTCTTCTTCATGTCTCTTCTACATCAACATGTGTCCCCTCTTCTTCATGTCTCTTCTACATCAACATGTGTCCCCTCTTCTTCATGTCTCTTCTACATCAACATGTGTCCCCTCTTCTTCATGTCTCTTCTTCATCAACATGTGTCCCCTCTTCTTCATGTCTCTTCTACATCAACATGTGTCCCCTCTTCTTCATGTCTCTTCTACATCAACATGTGTCCCCTCTTCTTCATGTCTCTTCTACATCAACATGTGTCCCCTCTTCTTCATGTCTCTTCTACATCAACATGTGTCCCCTCTTCTTCATGTCTCTTCTTCATCAACATGTGTCCCCTCTTCTTCATGTCTCTTCTACATCAACATGTGTCCCCTCTGTGGAAAGAGACTCTGAAAGTTTCAGGAACAAAGATTCTCTCTCTTTTTGTCCTGATCCATTTCTATAAAAACTGAAAATGAGCTGAAAGAGTTCAAAGCCTACTCTTGTCAAACTATTTCTTGTTGCTTGTGACTGAAATACCTCTACTAGTACCAGGGTGACCTTTTTTGTTACTACTGTTTCTCCAGGAGGAGCGTGGGCAGGGGGATCAGGAGGTGCTGGATGCGTACCAGCAGTGTTTAGGAGAACTTCTGCTGGCGCTGGCAGGTACACAAACTCCTTATTCACACAGGAACATAAAGAGATCTAGAGAAAGGATGAGTGACTGTTTGAGACATTTATTTTGAATTGAGGGAACAGACAGAAACTCCAGGGAACGGCTGGAGTGACAGAAACCAACAAAAAAGTTATTTGGTGAAGATTTGAAGAAATTAAACTAAAAACAGATTAGATTTATCTTAAAAAAACT